ATTTATGATTATTTCATGAATCCTGACAAAGTTGCCACCAAAGAAGTGAGGAGCCAAAACACAACTTCTATCTGTATAAATTATTTAGTGACTTGTGTCATTTGTTGGTTGTTTTTCAGGTATTTTGCACAGATTAGTTGATGCAGTATAGTTAAGATACATGAATTTGAAACTTGATACTGATGCCTTAAAAAAAAACCCAAAAAACTTAGATTTTTTTGATACCTTTTCTCGATTCCGAGGAAAACTATTTTATGACATAGCATTGTCGGATATTTCACCATCAGATTATGAATGTATTACTAAATAGAACTGAGGTTATATTCATACAAAGCAAGAATAAAACAAGTAATTATATTTAGTTAAAGATTATAACTGACAATTTGCTAAATTACCAGGTGTTACTAAACGCTTATCTCTATGGCTGGACGTCTTAAAACCGACTGCTTAAATCCAAGATGTCTTCATCATTAGTAAATGTCAATAACTTGGTTATAAATTAAGCATAAGTTATCAATCATCAACCACAAGGAAAATATTTGTCTGTCTATTCAAGATGTTAATCAAAAGGTAGGCTCTGCTCTCCTGAATGTAGCTCTATTTAAGTCCCAGCTCGTGGACTTTTCTATATGCCTCCCTGTCTCTCTCAGCTCCATGTCCTGAAATAAAGGCCATGTGTGCCAACTTAAAAAATAAAAAAATGGCCCAACTTTTATTTTAAACAGGATTACAATTTTCTTAAACTCCTCCAGTTTAGGCGAGAACTCTCCACTGACACTAAAGCGGGGCAAACCACCTTTTAGGCTTTGGATCTTGGAGGAGCTTTTTTCTTTTAAGTGTTGCACTCTGCACTCGGCTTTGAACGCACCAGTGCATGGTGTAGGTTTTGGCAGCAGGGAACCAACAGAACCACATTGTAAGCAAAAACTAGACAAGATTTGCTAAGGATGACGATTCAGGGTTATCTTCAGCTGTGCTTTTTTGTCCTGATTATATAGAAAATATATTATTATGTCAAATGTCCTAGTCACATTTCCATTATGGCTCAATAAGTTTATAAGTCATAGGCTGAACAGCTGGAGAACAGATATTTTGAAATAAAAATATATTATACATACCTGATATAAAGTAAGATTTAACTCCACTAACCCAAAGCTCAATGACTTTAGAATTTGATTTAAGAAAAACTTTTATAATAAAAGGATGTTGAGTTAATCAGTGCCGATTGGGTAACTTCTCTCTACCTAAGGACACATGTAAACCAACCATAAAAGCTAAATTCCTTGTTATTATTCGATATTTTTTTCTGATTATTAATCAGGATAGATTTAAATGAAAACTAAACAAAAAATTTAGATCCACCAAATTTTCAGATAAACTTTGAAAGAACAACCTTAATGATCTGGTTTGCTCTCTAGCAGTTGCCAATATGAAGAAGTCGATAGACTCTTTATCAGATGGTGATTGGGCCAAAATTTACATTACTCATGCTTTGATAGGCATTTCTTAATTAAGGCCACTCTTGCCTGCACAGAAGGCTTGGGGTTAAAAAGACAAAGATAACTCATCAAGATAATTTCACTCCTGGAGATTGTTCAGTCGAGGAAGGATCCACAGAATTAGCATCAGTATCTATGGTTATTAACATAATAAGTACAGACAATCTGTAATGGAATCACTCTGGGTACATATGCACATGTCAAAAATATGCGGAACATATTTTTTTTGGCTCATTTCTTGATGCGAAAACATAACATCCATCATCAGCTCATAAATAACCCCAGAGCATCTCAGCTTAAAAAAGTTATAAAACAAGTTGATGCTTCACTTTAATGTTCAAAGAAGTCACAGATTTACACACCTGACCCCAGATTGCTAGGAATACAGATTGTTCAGAGTGATTAAAGACCAAACACTTGGCACATCTGATTAACTTTCCTGGAACAGATGGCAATCAGACGAAGCTCTTCATCAAACCCTTTCAGTCTGTCAGGGTTCACACCTAGAGCACAGGGTTCACAGTAGATAATTAAAGAGTATTGCCTCTCATTTTACAGAGGACATAGATATAAACAGGAAAAACACTAGTACAATGTAAATAGATGTACTTAACAGGGGTGCATTTCAGAAAGCAGGTTTATTGAACACTTTTTTAAACTTTTTTCATTTCACTACGAGAGTTTACTCCACTGTTTGTGTTACCATAGTAACATTCTCCCCATAGCTAACCTAAAGACTGTGTTCTCTCTCCTTCCTCCTTGAAGCCACTCATGATGTCCTTTTTCCTGATTTAGTCAGGAGAGTTTGCTTGTGAATCTGTGCAAACACTAAAAAGAAAATCAGTCACTAGCTCCGTTAGACACATTAGGAGGACTGATAAACGCAAATAACAGCCATTTATTGGAATGATAAGATCCGAAGCTGTTGCAGACAGCTACTTAGTATTTACTGTGTAATGTAAGAGAATCAGAGAGAGAATTTACCCCCATGACATTATATACTGGTCCAACATGTTAGAACAACATTTTTATACTCCATCTTCAGCTGCTGCCAGGGAATTTCCACTAAATTGAATACATTGATCCACTACTATTCAAGCAGTAAACTAGTTTCCCTCGTAATGTTATCGTTTCCACAACAGGCTATGGCATTTCTTTTTGATATATATAAAGTTTGACTGAATATGTATTTCTGATATCTGGGGAAAAAAACAAAATTTTTCATATATAGAAAAAACATTCTAGATGTCTATAAATGAATTTTAGATCCCCATATACCTCCATATTTCTCTTCCTTTCTGTATGTCTGCTTCTGTCTCCTTAAACCCCAGTCGGCCTTAGCAGATGGTCGCTCACACTCAGCCTGGTGCTGCTGGAGGTTTCTTCCTGTTATAAGGGAGTTTTTCCTCTCCACTGTCGCTACATGCATACTTGGTGTGAGGGATTACTGTTGAGTCAATGAGTCGATGCAATCAGCTGGTTTTCCTTAGAAAGAAAACTTTAAATTAATTTGACTGTATGATCTGCTTGAATTTTCTGCCTGCAAGAGGAAGTTAAGACTCATTCATTGAGTGCCTTGAGATGACGTGTTGTGAATTGGCGCTATGCACATTAAGGTGAACTTTTGTTACTGGTCATCTTTTGTATTATTTTGACTATGAAGAAATGTATCTCAGATATCATAAATAAATCTTCATTTAAGCTGATAAATGTCAAAAGGACCAATTAAAATGTGTAAACATTTCTAGGTATATTAAACTTAATTCTTACTACTAAAATTTTCTTTGTTTACTCTCTGAAAAAAGTCCTGCTGCAAAAATGTAATTAAGGAAAATCTGTTATTACAGTTCCGACTAGAAATGTGTTTTTGACCAAGACAAATTCTATTTCCCTGCAAATGGAACAAAGAAGAGGGTGCTTTTATTAAATTAATAAACGTCCTGTTTCCTGTCGTAATGGTGACTCATCGAAATCGAAGATCCACTGATAATGGATTTTCATACTTTTCACACACATGCTCAACTCTGAGTGGACCTACTCACTCACTAAACAGACTCACAGCAGCGGTGTTGAAAGTGCAGAGTTTCCAACCTTAAGCTAGATCGATTCAGAGATCAATTCAGAGAGGATTTGAGTCTGAGATTGTTACACCTGCTTTGTGAAACGGGTTGGTTTGAATAGTTTTACAGAAGCTTTTACAAAAGGTCATCAATCCAGCTGAAAATATACACAATCAATAATTATCACTATTTATTACTGGTTTGCCAGTTATAAAAACTTTCCTGAAGTCTTGTTAGTAACCTAAATCTATATCTACTGGAGCCACCTGTTAGCCTGATTTATGTCTCTGGTTTTCCATGTTTGGGTCAAAATATTTTTCTCTAAAAGGTTTAAAGTTGGCCAGACAGAACATTTCCTTTTCACAATAAAAACAAGCAGATGTGTTAATTTCACACATAAACAGGCAAATTACTGAGTGCGACAGCACGGTTTTACATCTAACAAAAACAATTCTGCTCTCCAGCAGATGTAATCAGCAGTGTGGTGAAAAAATGCTCTTCAAATGAATATACTTCAATCGAAAAGAAGTTAACCTACAAAAAACTGGATAATATTTTGAAAATATGATGCATTAGTAATCACAGAATTAGAGCATAATTTTAAATGTTAGGAGTGTAATCATATCTGCTCTATAATAAATTGAATTGATCATTATAATTACATTATTCAGGTCTTGTTTTGTTAGTGATCGGTGTCTTTTACTTTAGTCCTGGTTTTTAAGTGTTTCCTATCTCTTCCTTGTTGCTGATTATTCACCCCTTATACTCTCACCTTCTTTTCCCTAGCAGAACTCAAACCCGCATTCTGCATCATTTCTCTCTTTGTGCTAATTATTAAACACTACAAAAATGGCTTCTGTTGATATCATCCATCTATTAAAACATACATACAGTATACCACTGCAGTACTATTTCTGCATCCTGATGCTCAGGATTGATCAGATGTCTCTGGAAAAAAGTTGAAATTAATAGAGAAAAACACATGTGCAGAAGCCCTGAAAAACAGAGGAAATAAATTAAAGTGCTGCTCCACTGATGTGTCTGCAATGACCAGTTTGTAAGACTATACATTTAAAAAAAAACTGAGGAACAACCACCTTAATTTTTTGAGTGCACTTAATGAGCTTTACTTGGATTAATGTAATAATTATCAGTTTAAAAAGTCTGCAGATTCAGCTCAGAAATCTCGACAAAGCATTCAAAGCATCATTTATTGAAGGAGCACCTGTTCACTATTGTCATCTGTGTAAACAAACACGGCCAGAGGTTGGGTATGAGATATGGGACCTCTATATCCCAGTGAACCAATTTTCTGATATAAAAAAAAAATCTGAAAATGGTCTACCAAAAAAAAAAAAAAGTCAAAAAATGTACTAAATGGGGAGAGGGGTAATGTATGAAAGCATTTTAATTTTCTTTTTTAACATTTTTGATGACTTACCTGTGCTGGCATCAGTGATAGCTCCATTATCCGATGATTTCCACCCTGTGTGTGAAGAAAAGAGCTTTAGCCACAAAAAATGAACACTGGCAACACAGAATCTCCTTAAGGAAGCTTTGCAGAATGTTGTGGTAGTTGTGATTCACAATGAATGTCTTTTATGCTTCATTGGCAAGTTTCTTCACTCAGCATATCTCCCTCTCTCTTTCTCTATCTCTCTGTCTGCCTGGCGGGGTTGTGGGTGTCTGTGTGTGTAGCATGTTATGCAAAATGTGCACAATTATTGATGATGGTTGTTTTAAAATGAAAGTGCTTTTTACATCCATTCTGCTTGATCTCATCATTCCAGAACGTTTGTTTTAATCATCTTCCTTTGATAAACATGCATCTTGCAAAAGTTTTCTTTCCCCTTAATCCTTTATAAACAGTTTCTCATGCTGGAACCATAAACTTTAACTAGGTTTATTTGTATGGTGGGAGGAACATGGTGTATAGTTTTGATGATACAATTGATTGTACAATCAAAAAACTGAAAGGTGAAAGATTGTCTTCTTTCATCTCTCTCCTAATCATATACCTAATTCAAGAAAAGGCCTTGGCTTAATGCAAGTCCCAGTCTGGAATTATATAGAAAAGTGATAAATGAATGCCAAGAAGAAACTCAAATTCTACTGGATCAAAGTGCAATAAAATAAAAAGATACATTTGATCTGTTTATGCTTTAATCAATTGACTGTTATTTTCTGTAAGCTGCTTTTGTATTTACTGCTTCTCCTATATTTCTAGTCATCTAAAGTGGCAGATATTGTGCTCCAATGAGGCACCAACTGTAGGTCTGCCTCAATGTACTCATGAAAGCTTCTTAATTGAACTGGCTTATAAACTTATCTTCCTGAGGATCAGATCTCTGCAGGGAAAATCCTTTTTCATCAATTACCTAATTTCTCATCATAATCTTAATGAGGCATCCATTCTCATAAAGTCAATGCCTCTGAAGTACAAATTTCTTTCTGAGAGCTGACAGCAAAGGAAAGATGTGGATGTGGTCATTTTGTTTAAAGATTTAGTAAAGTGTTTAAAAGTATTTTTGGGGCAAATTTGAATCTTCTGTATATTTAACAGATATGGAGTTTTGTCCAAAATATGTTCTTAAATATTTGCAGGGGCTCCAAGGTCCAAAACTATTTTTTTTAGCTACTCTATGGACTACTTTTACATAGTTAGATACATTTAACCCAGTTTTCTTTCCATCTTTAAAATCATGGTAAAAAAAAATCACTGAAAGGTATATGTTTATTACCAACCAGCTTATTACCAACAAGAACATTAACAATACTTTTGAAAGTTCATCCATAACAAGAAGGAAAAAAAAGAAAAAAAACAAAAACTAATTCACTTTTAAAATTATGTCTCACCCCTCTCAAGATAATTGTCTTCTTTAGAAATAATGATAATGTCTGCAGAGTTTTATATGGATTTCATTTCCCATAAAATATTTTTTTTTCATAGAAAAACCCCTGCAACAGCAAACACATTTTTCTCAAAACCAGTTTTAATTTTGTCTCTTACAAAATTATAGCCCTTAATTTTACATTAGGGAAATTTTGTTTTTAATTGTTTTATATGTGTTTTCCCAAACCTCTGATTAGTACAACGTCTATGGAGCTGCAAGTTAGTTATATTATGTGCAAAAAGAACTTGTACAAATGTTAAAAGGATATTAAATTACTTCCAAGAAAAATGTGTAATTCTTTCAAAATACAGACATTTAACAGGCTTTATACTAAATCTACTTCTTTTCATTGCCTTACATTAATGTACGTACATACTATTGTTTATGTATAAGAAAATTAATTTTACAGTTTTAATTATAGAGTTTAAAGAGTTTAACTGAACCAAGGCGACCAATCGTTCAAACCAGACATGATACCTCCAATGACATGTGTATTTCAAATATCTAAGTTTACCACATTTCTCACCATGAGTGAAAAGAGCCATTGAGTACTTTTGTGCTTCTTCACACACTTGCCCCAGCAGTTGTATCATAAATCCCTGGCATGTCGATCACTGCAACTCTGATTTCGTTCACCTCACCTGTGGCATTTTGCTCTCTGATGTCACAGAACCTGGAGAGAAAACAGAATGCAATGCTTCTTGATTCAGGATGGTGTTACACTAGGCACTTTTTCCATTACCTGTCTTTCCAATCAGAGCTATTCTAATATCTTTATTTGCTGAATTTAGTAAATCAATAGAGTGGTAGCTGCCTGATGAAAATTCGGTATGTGAAATTGTTTTTAATTGATGTATTATATTTAGAATCTTCTGCTGACCTTTTTCTTCTCCTCTGTCTTGGGTCTGCCTTGCAGTTGCAGCTGTGCTTAGCTGGAGCTTGTCAGTCACTAAAAAGTGCCCCTCTTCCTTCTTTTCTCCCATTCTGTGGTTTGTTTTCTTGTAGTTACAGCTGTACAGTTGTTGGTATCATTATTTATATTATTCTTTACACATTAGATGTAAGTGGCAGAAAGAGGCTTAAACCTGGAGTAGTAGCAGCCACTGTTGTATTCTGTGAATTAACAAAATATCATTATGGGGGAAATGATTGAATGAAAGCTTCTTGATTCTTGTAAATACGACATTAATCAAAAAGGAAGATACCTATAAAAATAATGACCAAACAGAGTACTGGTCATTCAGTCAATTTAATTGGTCTACTTTGTTGTCGTTTTTTATCTTGCATCTTTAATAGAAACACAACTATTAATAACATTGTGTCAGCAAAGCCTGAGTCTGAGGTAATTCCAAAGGTGAACATGATATAGATAGCTCTGTTTTTGGGGGGGGGGTTGTCCCAGTTCGTAGCAGCCCTCTATCTTCTAGCCCACTTTACATGTTTTCCATTGTTCTTTAATTAACTTTCATGAGCTTTCCTACTACTGTGGAAGAACAGAATCCCCATAACCTGATGCTGCTGCCACCATGTCTCCCCATGGTGATGGTGTTTTCAGGGTGAAGTATAGAAGTTTTTTTGTGCAGCACATACAATTTTGTATATAAACCCAAAAGTATAATCCATGTCTCCTCTGATCAAAGCACCTCCTTCACATACTGCATGGATTTTTACTAATTAAAAACAGGTTGTCTTATGAAACCATCACTGTCTTCAAGTCACAAAGTCTACAAAGCCCAGATTTGTGGAGTGTGTTTCTAATAATTGTTCAGTAAATAGATTCTTAAAGTAAAGTTCAAGGGGCATAAATATGCATAGATTTAGCATGACACTGCATTTGTTGTTATACATTAACCAGCACATAATATTTGATAACTTAAAGTTTATTTTCATCAGTGTTCCCTAATGCCAACGATGTACTAAATATATTTGGACAAACAGATTGTGTATTTTAGAGGTTGAAAGAAGTCTCTTTTTGCACCGAATGGTTAGCCCTGCATTATGGAGGAAAGTCATAATTTACCTCAATGTGTAATCAGCCAGCTTTTAAGGAACAATTCCAAATTTAACAGGATAAAAACAAATATTAACCTTTGGACCACAACTTTGGGGTCACTGGAAAAATAAAATAAAATATTTTTTAGGAATCTAGATAAGAAAATGAGCTCAAATTATATTAACTTTGAATTGGATAAAAAAAAAAAAAAAAAGACGTATTTGACTGAAATGATGTCATTTCTACCGATCAGCGCCTGATATGTGAAACAGGCGCTGATCTCAAGCTGAGATGAGCATTACCCCTTCAGAAACACTAGATGGCGGTATAGGTCAGAATAGGTCATTATTTTTAATAGGGAAACATCAGACAGGGAAATGAAATGGGACTGCGGGTAAGATATGAGACAGTGGAACATGTTATTTTGAATTGTAGGAAACATTTGGTAGAGAGAAACAAGTTAATTAGGAAACTTAGTAATGTGAAAATGAAACTTGACATTGTTGATTTTCTGCAAAAGGAAGGAATCAGGAATTGTATAACAGGATATAGTTTTTGTTTTTGTTTTGTTTTTTTGCCATGTGGTTCACACTCACTACCAGTTGGTGTCGGTAATACTCACCTAACGTTTTTGCCAACCGCCATAAACATTTCGACAAGAAGACGAAGAAGAAAAACCTAACTTTCCCTTCCGGGTGAATGTTATGAATGAGTCTTAACTTCCTCTTGCGGCTGACAAGTTGATTACCATTTGGATAGTTGACAGCTGCTGTTTGTTTAAAGTCTGCTCAGATGGATTATTCCGCCGCACAGAGTGGGTTCAGACAGCGTAAGTTACGTACGTGATTTCTGTTCGAACATGTTTACTGAGGAAATGCAACTGGAGGCTAATGCTAGCTGCTTTCCGTAGCTCTCTGTGTTTTACCGGCCGGTTGAAGCTAACAGTTAGTTGAACTAATAAAACCTATGGCGTCTTTCACAATCTCTATTCTCCCTTTTCCTTTCGGTCTTCAGCGTTGATAAATGTTATCTTTGGCAACTATGTTAATCAGTTTATAAAGTCCTTAAATTAGCTGGAAATGTGTGGAGTTTTGGGATAACGTTTCATTTTTTTTGTTTTAATTTTATGCGTGAAGGTATATTTTACAAATTTCTTTCTAACTGTTAAGTATTTAACTTGCAAATGTATTTGGATTTCTAAGCTTTAATAAAGAGGTGATGACACAATTAGAGCTAAATAATTAACAGATTCAAAAGTATTATTATTTTAGTTGTCTTTAGTCGTGTTACTGATTATGTTGGTTTTTCTGTTTGTTTTGATAAGTGTGAAAAAAAGTATTTCAGACAACAAACAAAGAAAGATTTTCTTTTTAACTGCAATCACTTTTGTGGTCAGTATCTAAAATTAAGGCCTGCAAATTAAGTTTCAGTATTGCATGTATGCATGTTGCCTTTGCAACATGCATACATGCATAATACAACTGCAAATGACTGCCTGGAATCTAATGCATATATAAGTTCATTATTTAAACACCATACATTCTGTCTGTAGTATTATGCTTTGTAACGTTTTCCCTTTTCCCTGAAAGTTATTTTAATTCTTTATGCAACATTTAAAAAAATCCCAGGGCTCCTTTGAAAAAATATATTTGTAAATCTTGATGGGATCTTCCTCATTAAAGGTGGGGAAAAAAAGGTCGGAGAAGGTAAAGAGTTGATATAGTGTTAAGAAATCAAAGCTGAGTTGTTTTATTATTAAAAGATTACAAGTTAAACGAAAGCAACTCATTCATTTAAACTTCTAGTTTGAGATAGACATTAATTGCTTTGTTTTTAAGCAGCTGGATAGAATACTAATTATCCTGTGTTTGCCATTAGCCGAAAGCAGAAAACGGGGCTTTTGAGTCTAAAAATAATGTTTGCATCAGCTGCAATCAGCAGAAATAAGTTGCCAAATTCTCCTGGCAGTAGAGCATAACTATAAGCAAAAAAATATGTATATATTAATAATTTGTATCTTTTTTACCAAACTGAAAAGTTGAACAATGGCAAATATTGCACAAATACCGTATAAACGTTTCTGTCTGAAAAAAATGGAGTCTTAGAACAACATTGCTATCCTTAGTGTCAGTATCAGTAAGATCATGAACATATCCATCCATCAACTAGACAGAAATCTGAGTGCTTCTGCAGCTTTAACTCCTGCTAACGTAAACATCAAAGTTCATGTAATATAGACCTTTCAATTTTGGGGGGTTTGTTTTTCTTTTTTGCACTTTTTCCAGACTTTATCTTGAACCTATCTGCTTTCTTTTCATACCTCCACTGCATGTTGCTGACTTCATTGCTTCTCCTTCCTTCCTCATTCTGCTCATGCACAATTTCGTATTTCCAGTTAACTGGTATTGTTATGAGAAATATATAAATATAAAAAATCCCTTTATTGTTCCACAATGGGGAAATTGTTGTGTTACAGCAGCAAAATATTATAGAAAAAGTGGTCACACAAATTTGGACCTTAACAAATCGTATTTAATATAACAGAATAAATGACTGAAATGAATAAATGAGATAGGAAATTGAACAAATAAAATACTGTACTGTATGGTGTTTTTTTAATATAAATACTGTGCATATGCAGATTAAATAATCATTATACAGCTGTGGACTTTTTCATGGTAATGTGTAGGGGGGAAAAAATAGCAAACACCATACATGTGCAAAAATGACATCAGTATGTTATTTAAGTGACTAATACAGAAACTGCAAAAATCAGCATGAATGTAAGAACTTATTCAGGTTGTTACAAATGGAGCGTAAACGAGGTGTAAAACGGAAAAATTTAAGATGATATCCAGAGTTTAATGATTGAATCAGAAAATCTTTGTTTGCAACCAGAGGTGTACTGGTGTAGAAATTCATAGTCATAGAACATGACGAGGTCCCTTTAACACTTACATTTTACTTAAGACACACAATGACGTTAGCTCCTCAGCCATTTCCCCTTAAACATATTTTTTTATAAACACTATGTGAAAAGTTAACTTTTCACTCTAATCCAAACCTTCCTTTGTCACACTTTTAATAACAGATTGTGACTCATTGTCGACTTTTAAACTGTAGACCAATCAGTCTAGACTGTAATGCCAAAGAAATTGGAAAAACTTCAGGTCCATTTAAAAGTAAGACCTTTGCATCCTGCTGCATCCAGTGCAAATAGTTGGTCTGTGTGTTTAGCGAGAGACTCATCTAGAAAATGTAGGAAAGCTGTGAAGAATTGCATGTTGGATTTTTTAATGGTTGATGCTAGAGTAGCTACTTCTGCTTGATATTAGAAACACAATCAGATTATTTCTAATTAAATGCCTTGCTTTTCACCGCGCAGAACATAACATGCGTCTGAGGAACAGTTCTGTGGATGGACCAGATGGTGGTCAGCTGTTTGATGACACAAGTGCAGCTGGGCCTGCGAACCAAGGCGTCTACAGGTGGGAGCCGTCCTTTGACAGGTTTAAACCAGTCGGAAACTTCTCCAGTTGTTGATAAATGGAAACAATATTATTTTTCCTAAATATTTTGGCTTCTAGTTTAAATATTATTCCAATCATTTCTGGACAGAAATCAGCAGGCTGGGCCTCAAGCAGCAGGACCTCCTGGTCAGTCCTTCCTGTCTGACCCCATGTCCAACCTGGCGATGGCGTACGGCAGCTCACTGGCGACCCAGGGGAGGGAAATGGTGGACAAAAATGTAAGATTTCCAGAAGTATTTAGCTGATCTGCATAAGCCGAAAAAAAAAAAATCCACTGAGGCTATGTAAGCAGGATTTAATTTGTGTGTTTGTTTGATTTTAGCTGGACAGGTTTATTCCGATTTCCAAGCTCAAATACTACTTTGCTGTGGACACGGTATACGTGGGAAAGAAGCTGGGAATTTTAGTGTTTCCTTACATGCACAAGGTAGGCTTGGCTTTACTATGAATTAACCCTCTCTGGGAGTGATTGGAGTTTAATTTCTGTACTTGATGGGCTTTTATTGTTCGAAATAAAGGATTTCAATTGCAAAATGTGAAGTTGTGATTAACTAATTGTATGACTTTTAGTTTGGTTTTAATCCATATGACCCATGATACAAACCAGACCATCTCCCTTTAGATGAAACTTAACAACACATTTTTCTTTTCTTTTACAAACCATGTAAATAAAGTTGTAAATAATTTTGGGAAAAATATCAAGATAACAGACCTAATTATTGTGTGGAATGTGTCTATTCTGTAGAATTGGGAGGTGAGCTACCAGCAGGACACCCCTGTCGCCCCCCGCTTTGATGTAAACGCTCCAGATCTTTACATTCCTACTATGGCCTTCATCACATACATCCTGGTGGCTGGGCTGGCTCTGGGCACACAGAACAGGTACAGTTAGCCACATTTCTGCTAATACAAAGCTTTATATTTTTTCTGCAGATAAAAGCATGCTTGACATCTGTTTCCCATTTATGAGGTTGCTGCCTAAATTCATAAATAGGACTGTGGAGAACCTGGGAATGAATGATGAATGTTGACTAATGATGTCCCTTTTATGTCGTACTACCAATGATAAAACCTTTCTGATATGTTGCTCAGGTTTTCCCCAGAGCTTCTGGGAGTCCAGGCCAGCTCAGCGTTGGTTTGGTTGATCATGGAGGTCCTGGCCGTCCTGCTCTCCCTCTACCTCGTCACTGTAAACACAGACCTCACCACCATAGACCTTGTGGCTTTTTCAGGATACAAATATGTTGGGTATGTACCGATATATAGCACCATCAAACTAATTTTTCCAATAACAATTTAACCGTCATGGTCTATTTTTTTTTTTAGAATGATTATAGGGATCATCGCAGGTCTTCTATTTGGAAGGCTGGCATATTATCTGTCTATGTTGTGGTTTTGTGGAGCCATCTTTGTCTTTATGGTGAGTATGTAGCCTCTTTGTACTGATTTTAATTCATGAAATCCTTGTACACAACCAGTCAGGATAGTTATACTTCTTCCTTATTCTGCAAGTCATCCAAACCCACTTCATAAGTCATTACAAGCACACCTTTATACAAATGTGTGACATATGGGAACACGCTGATGCACACCTCTGATCCCGTTCAATTTTTAATAAATCCTGTTACTGTTCACTAAATGGTTACATTGATTGGAAGCTTTTCTTACCTTTATTATTCATCTGTATTAGAAAAAAAATCAATTTGTTTAGATTATGCTTTGTAGATTTGTTTTTTTTGAACAACTAAATAGTTTGGATCATCCAAGTATTTTATGTATGATTCTGAATATTAATAGTGAAACATAAGGTATTATATTTTATAAGATATTATTGTCTTTACCTCGGTGATGGGCCAGTTCCACCACTCTGGAGATTTTAACCACCTTTCTTAATCAAATTAAGCAAACTTTGTAGGCTTTTTCTTTCATACCACAGCAGCTCAGATAGACTGATAGACTTTAGCTTGAGTTTAAAATCACAAACTTGAAGGCAGAATTATCCTATAGGATTTTGGAAAATGGCTCCTAAGTCCTGGACATCGTGAGGATGTCTTCTGCTAAACATGAGGAAAAGTTAAACAGTTATACCAATTAGTTTAAGCTGTTAACTTAGTTTGCATGCTCAGAGATGGAGTAAAACCTCCATTTCCACCAACCCAGAGCACTCCTGTCTTCTAACGTTCCTGCACGTTTCTGGACAGATCCGCACTCTGCGTCTGAAGCTCTTATCCGAGGCGGCGGCTGAAGGGAAGCTGGTGAGAGGAACCAGGAACCAACTGAGGATGTACCTGACCATGTCCATCGCAGCGGCGCAGCCCGTCTTCATGTACTGGCTCACCTACCATCTCATCAGATAAAAGCGTCAAGTTTGTAGAAGAACTCTGCTGTCAATCAAATTCATCATCTCAGAAACAACAACAAAAAAAAGTTATCCACAAAGAACCACATTGCTACACTCAATGAGCAGAACTCCCGTCACCAAACAATAAAGAGGGGACGTCTCCGCTCCTCTGAGCACAGCCACGTGTTAGTTTGGCCTTTTTTTATATTTAATGTCTTCAGATTTTGTAGCAAAAACAGGTGGCTTTCATTTGTGTTTTACTGTGTAATTGCATGATGGCAATGTTTTTATGAATATTTATGTACGTCTGTGAATTTTTATGTTGCAGAATTTACTCTGGTTGTCAAAGGCTAATTTGTTTTAGCCGCACAGCTGCACACCTGCCCCGCATCTGATGTGAAGAAACTGTAAACCAGAACATGAACTGGTTGGCTGCTTACAGAGCATTTAGACAAAGTCTTGTGTATATTTCTTTCAGGATCTGCTAGAAGGAAATTACCTTTGTTGCAAAAAAAACAAGTATATACCTGATTACTGCTTAATAAATATAATTTAATATCAGATGTTTCAATTGCAATGTTAAGTCTTCTTTCAAATCATGGAGTGAATTATTTCTGGAGCTCTTAAAGCTAGTTAAGTAGGAAACGTTTCGTCTGGAAGCAATGAGCTGTTTTAATGCTGAAGCAGAGCAGTGATTGGATGTTGACCTGAGGTCAAAGTTTACTAAAAATAGAAGAGGCTGGTGAAATGAAGCGACTTACAGGTGCTGGTCATAAAATTAGAATATCATGAAAAAATAGATTGATTTCAGTAATTCCATTTAAAAAGTGAAACTTGTATATTATATTCATACATTACATACAAACTCATATATTTCAGATGTTTATTTTGTTTAATTTTGATGATTACAAATGACAACAAATGAAAATCTCAAATTCATCATATCAGAAAATTAGAATATTGTGAAAAGGTTCAAAATTGATGGCCCCTGGTGCCACACTCTAATCAGCTAATTAACTCAAACCACCTGCAAAAGCCTTTAAATGGTCTTTCAGTCTAGTTCTATAGGCTACACAATCATGGGGAAGACTGCTGACTTGACAGTTGTCCAAAAGACGACCATCGACACCTTGCACAAGGAGGGCAAGACACAAAAGGTCATCGCTAAAGAGGCTGGCTGTTCACAGAGCTCAGTGTCCAAGCACATTAATAGAGAGGCGAAGGGAAGGAAAAGATGTGGTCGAAAAAAGTGTACAAGCAAGAGAGATAACCGCACCCTGGAGAGGATTGTGAAACAAAACCCATTCAAAAATGTGGGGGAGATTCACAAAGAGTGGACTGCAGCTGGAGTGAGTGCTTCAAGAACCACCACACACAGACGTATGAAAGACATGGGTTTCTGCTGTCGCATTCCTTGAATCAAGCCACTCTTGAACCACAGACAGCGTCAGAAGCGTCTTGCCTGGGCTAAAGAGAAACAGGACTGGAGTGCTGGTGAGTGGTCCAAAGTCATGTTCTCTGATGAAAGTAAATTTTGCATTTCCTTTGGAAATCAAGGTCCCAGAGTCTGGAGGAAAAGAAGAGAGGCACTTCATCCACGTTGCTTGAAGTCCAGTGTAAAGTTTCCACAGTCAGTGATGGTTTGGGGTGCCATGTCATCTGCTGGTGTTGGTCCATTGTGTTTTCTGAGGTCAAGGGTCAACGCAGCCACATACCAGGAAGTTTTAGAGCACTTCATGCTTCCTGCAGCTGACCAACTTTTTGGAGATGCAGATTTCATTTTCCAACAGGACTTGGCACCTGCACACAGTGCCAAAGCTACCAGTACCTGGTTGAAGGACCATGGTATCCCTGTTCTTAATTGGCCAGCAAACTCTCCTGACCTTAACCCCATAGAAAATCTATGGGGTATTGTGAAGAAGAAGATGCAATACACCAGACCCAACAATTCAGAAGAGCTAAAAGCCACTATTAGAGCAACCTGGGCTATCATAACACCTGAGCAGTGCCACAGACTGATCGACTCCATGCCACGCCGCATTGCTGCAGTAATACAGGCCAAAGGAGGCCCAACTAAATACTGAGTGCTGTACATGCTCATACTTTTCATGTTCATACTTTTCAGTTGGCCAACATTTCTATAAATCCTTTGTTTTTATTGGTCTTCAGTAATATTCTAATTTTCTGATATGATGAATTTGAGATTTTCATTTGTTGTCATTTGTAATCATCAAAATTAAACAAAATAAACATCTGAAATATATGAGTTTGTATGTAATGTATGAATATAATATACAAGTTTCACTTTTTAAATGGAATTACTGAAATCAATCTACTTTTTCATGATATTCTAATTTTACGACCAGCACCTGTAATTTGTATCAAAACAGCTTATCTACTTGATGCACAGGAGAATTAAATAGTTTACCTGTAAAACACACCATGTTGGACACAGATGTGCATATTTATTTAATTTTTTTTCAGAATGAAAACTATGACATCGTTGCTGTGAAGAATATTTATTTACTCTAGAACCAGAAAGATAAATAATGCAAGGAGCAAACTGGTACAGTCTGTTTGATAAAGGCCAGTGTATTTTCTGAAATGAAGGCATACATTTAGCTCAATCATTCATTTTAACTGATTCTTTTATGAATATATATGTTTTTTGTACATTTTAAGCCACATAATCTGGCACCTGACCTCCTTTTCAGACCTGAAAACAGTTAAATGTGAAACTAAATGAAGATGAACATTTACAAAAAAAACATAAAATCTGTAAAAGGTTAAAAGCATTGCTACATGAACCACGCTTTAAATTTAAGGTTGTAAACAGCAAAACTTGAACCATTGCTTTCGAGTTGTTTTCAATCAGCTGAAATCAAGCGTAATTTAGAAAGGGTTGGATTTTGATTTCAGTATTTCCATGTAAGTATAGAAAAAACAAGGAATTATGGGAAACCATGAGTATTTTGGGGCTGAATCCCAAACCAACCACTAACCCTTAACTACCAAGTCTCTTAAAGTGTCACTCACAGCTTTGGAAGGTGCCTGGATTGTACATAGTTCACCCTTACACCTGCTGCCAGACTCCAGTGATCCTGCACTAATGCATCCCAACTAGCATACATGGTTTTGGATAGCCCCTCTGCCGGAATGTGCAAACAGAGGGTTAGTGTTTAGGGGATTCAGCATTGGACTTCTTGATCTTCCTCCACAGCTGTTACATCCTTTCTTGGGTGCAACCTTCCATTTATCCCTCCCTTATGTCCAACCCTGCTGTACTCCCTCCTTTTTTCCAGTGTCTCTAATAAGCAGGTTTCTCATTACCCACCTAAATATCAGAGTAAACCAATATATATGTTGTTTTTTTTTATCAATCTAAAGGAGAGAGATTTCCCGAAAGGCTTAGGTACCCTTTAAATGTCATAAATATGAGGAAACATCACAGATGAGCTAATAAACCAGGACACAGCAACCAATACGTTGGGTTTTAAAGCTCTCTAGTCTTTCCAGAAGCCTCTGTTGTGATTAATGGCCTGAAGGAGCCTGGTCTCCATGGTCCTATCCACCGGGTATCTCATGTACCTGGGCAGCAGCAACAGGCAATGGCAGGTAAGGGATTCAGGCAAATGGAGCTCTGTGGAATCTGGCAACGGAGCCACTCTCATCCTGACGTATTCCATCCCCATGAAGGGGACTCTGTCACAGCCAGTGAGGAACACTGAGCATGGAGGAAAAAATAAAGCAATGAATGTAAGAGAACCACGGCCAGATGTAAAACTAATGCTAAATGAACAACGAAATGAAGTGGAGAACATACAGAGGAACTTTTTCTTTTGTTCTGCTGAGAAATTGTCAAACACGTTCCAGAAGCTGATGATGGTTGGATGGTCGGTGTGGTATTCTCCCTCATAAACTGTGTTCTGCAAATTTCAGAATAAAATACCTTTAACAATTCAGAGCTACTTATCTACACATTTTGAATCATTTCTAAAAGCAGCAAACATAATTAACCTACATAACTTAATGATTACTGAGTTTTTCCTACACGGTTTGATTTTACTTTTGTTACGATCATATAACGTGGTGGTCATTTGTTAGATTAAAAGAATAATATCTGAGTTCCTCCTACCTGCTTGAAGACCTCCCAGTTGTAAGTCTCCTGGCCCACCATGACCGACTGTAATTCCTCCGGCTGGAAGAACTCCACAACATCTATGTTACACACTTTAAAAAAGCCTCGTTTGAAGAGTTCAAATATTCCCTCCACTGATTTGTTAAAGGCATGGTCTATACAGGCCGCGACAAACTGCTTCCTGTTGGGAAAGAAAAATCTGATTATTACAAATCTGAAGGCTTTTTAACTGAAATAAGTCACATTTCCACAGTTGATGGCAGCAAAGACAGGCTTTTCACCTTAACACTGAGGTGAAAATGCACTTTAATACAAACCTATTGGATCCAGTGACACATTTTCCAGGTTCCTTGGGATCCAGTTCAACTTCCTCACCACCCCAGGACATCTGTGTAGCCATCATAGATGGGTTAGTTAGAAACCTGCACCCACATATTCATCGCCTACAGAGGGTGAACCGGACAGATTCACCATCACTTTCTATTGTGCAAAAACCTACATTGAAAGTCATCTCTGCAGCTTCCACTTCATCAGGAGTGTAGTCCTCCAAAATGCACCTCCATGACCTAACCACAGAATAAACAATGAGGAAAGTTCAATAAATACAAACTACACATTTTTCATAGCAAAATTATTTGAAAGTTATGTTACAAGTGTAAAAAAAAAAAAAAAAAAAATTAAGCTGAGTTTTAATATCTTCATGTTTCACAAACCATTAAACAATACCATCTAAATAGTTTTCAATTCAGTGTTTAAGTTGGGGGTGCTGTTTTGTTTGTTTTTTATTCATCTAAAATTGGATGAACTCCACCTTTATTCTGTTTTTAAAAGATCCCAGAGGGACGAGACTAAAACTTTAATGCCAACAAGGTGCCTAATCTGTGGTAAGACTGAAAATCATGAATTTCAGAGGGGGTGATGCAACGATAAAAGATGAAAATTACATTTAAGTCAGAAAAAAACTCTAGAAAGAAATCTAAAGAATTTTCTGGAAACCTTGTTCCATATTCCATATTTTCCAATCTACTAGATTCAAGGCCTGGTAGAAAGCAAGAATAAAGAAAAACAACTTTCTCAATAAAAAAAAATTAAAATAATATCTTAAAGGGAAGTGAAGTTTTACATCGCTGCATCCTGCAGAGAGCCGTTCAGTCATGGACTTTTAATGTTTCTTACTCTGCTAAGAAAGGATCAAACTCCTTCATGTCGTCCAGTGATGTTTTGACGCGGAGCAGCTTCTTGAAGAGAGCCAGTGGGAACGGCAGGTGTATGATGTTGTGGTTATAAAGAGCCAAGCCACACAGGACGCCAAACAGGAAGTACTTCTTCTCCTCAACTTTAGGCTATTTGTTTAAAAAAAAAAAAAAACATCAAAGAAAACAGGAACATTGAAAACCAACAATTCAATTTCATCTAAATGATCACATGTTCATGCACAGATAAGTTTAACCTTTAAATTAAACCTTGAATTGAAGGGAGTGTTGGCCTAGTGGTTAGAGTAGCGAGATTGTGATATGGAAAGGGTTGCAAGTATTCGGTTCGATCCCCACAGCCTGCACCCTGTGTCGCTGAGCAAGACCCTTAACCCCCGTTTGCTCCCCAGGCGCCACACTGTGGCAGCCCACTGCTCCCCAAGGGGACGGGTTAAGATGCAGAAGTGAATTTCTCCATTGTGAGGTCAATGATGATTAATTATTATTAAACATATTGACTAATAAGCCTGCCTACAGTGATGTTGTTGTTTTTTTTCATGAGCAGCTCTTACCTTGGGTGGAAACCAGGCCAGAGTCTTACTGTCGTTGAACATGAACATATCAGATTCAGGATCCATCAGCTCATCAAACATATGAAGGAAAAAGTCTTTTTTGTTGACGTTCATGATCTTCCTGTCATCTACAAACTGAACCTACAATAGAAAGATTACAAAAAGCTTTTTAAGATACACACATAAACATATGTATACAAGCATATATATATATATATATATATATATATATATATATATATATATATATATATATATATATATATATATATATATATATATATATATATATATATATATAAATATAAATATATAAATATATATATATATATATATATATATATATATATATAGAGAGAGAGAGAGAGAGACAGATTCCTAACATTACAAGTATAAACTTCTTCCCAAATATATAAAAGTTGTTTTTTTGTTTCTTTATATTTCTTTTTTTTTTTTTTTTTTTTTTTTACACTTTTAGTAACATTTTTATTTATGTATTCAATTTCAATCTCTAACAATATGAAAAAGTAAAAAACATTATGGACATAATTTTTTTTTTTTATTGTTGTGTTTACCACAAGCGCCCTTTTAAATACAGAGTGATCAGCTGCAGCGAGATGTCTGAAAGCGTCCTCCATCAGGTGAGTCCGTCTGAGGTTCAGCTGGAAGACCGGGACAGAGGGGTCCAGAGCGTCTCCCAGGATGTCATTTGACCACGGCAGACGCATTCGCTGAACAACATGATGAGCTTCCTGCAGATATAAATACTTCTGTGAAAATTTACCAGAACCAAACGCCTGCAGCCATAAACAGGATAAAGCATAATTCATGAAGCCCTGTACCTTCATCACGCGTGCCAAGATGTTAAAGACAGCAACCTTGCAAACCAGAGGGAAGACGAAAGGATAGCGGCAGAAAATGGCAGGTGTTTTGTCGTCGTCCTTTAAAAAAATGACAAAATAAATGATCAAAAAGGACTTTTAGTGAAAAAGGAACAAGAAACAAAAAGCAGAATGAAGTACACATAAAATATTTTTCACCTCTTCTTTGGAGAACGCCAACCAAAGAGTGACATCCTCAAGCGGCTGAACAGCATTACCTTCCATTTCCTCCACATAAAAGGTGCTCAGTGGGACTTTGTAGGACTTTCCAGCTTTGTTTGCCTGAAAATAAATTATTTCATTCAATAATGAAAACATGTTTTAATTCTACTGAGATTTCCACGCACATAAAGGACTGCCAGTCAAACTATCAGCAGCAGTCCGGCGAGACGAATACATTTAAAGCATCAATTTATATTCTGCTGAACGAAATATAACAAAAAAGTTATAAAGATTATAAAAGTGAGATTTCACCAAATCCAATACTGACTCTGTAAAGCAGCTTCAGGGCTTTCAGCAGGTATTTGACTCCTGGGTTGTGGGTTTGCAACAGGCCGTTCCTCAGCATGAAAGCCAGGGCATTTCTGAACACCAGGATGTGCCTGATCAAAATATCCGCCGACAGAGAAGACCAAAGGCTCTCTGCAGATTGAAAAAGTTAATAAACAGAAAAAACCTAAACCTTAACCTTCCTAAACCTTACGATAAAGCATCTAGATGTGAAGCCGGTGCAGTAGTTTCTTACTCAATGTTTCCAGAGTCTTCTCACTCAGATCCTGAATAGTAATTGCCAGAGGCAAAGCTACATTGATCACGTTTGTGTCCTCTTGTAGAAGTGGGCATGTCAACAAAACCAGGAGGATCTCTGGAGATTTTAAATGATGCATTGATGAAACGAGCAAATCTAACAGGAGATTTAGATTCACCTGCATGGAGGAAAAAAATATAAAAAATAAAAAAGGGTTCTCTGTCACCGTGTAATTGCTCTACATGTGTGCTGTTGTCTAACCTGGTTTTAAATAGAAATAAAACTTCCATGACTTTTCTGTTATTTTATGTGAATGAGTTTAAAAGTTTCATACTTAACTGTTTGTTTGATCCAAGGGACGGCCAGCATCTGGTCAAAGGCTTGGCGAGCGGCCTGGAGGTCCACTGTTAGAGCGCCAGCTTCCAGCGGAGCCCCGCTGGTATCAAACAGACAGGACAACGGGTCAGGGGGGAGGAAGGTGAAGAAGGGTTGAACCCCTCTTTTTTAGCATTAAGTTTAAAAGCACCAATCTAGTGCATTGTAATAAAATAATCAAGCAATGTTAAAGGACAGCATGATGTAAAGTATTTATACATTATCAGGGATGAGTTATTGCCAGTCATATTGTTTTCACATTCCCCTCAAAGGCACAGAAATATTGAGATCATTTCAATTAATTCCAGCATTTTTCTCTTTTTAATTAAAATTTTATTTTTATTCAAGGATAAATGTCACCAGTTATTTAGAGCCTTTATGGTAGTAGATGGAAAAGGCTTTAATGGCATTATGATTATGAAACTTTCCAGGGATGGGAATCTTTTAGCTAAGCTTTAACTCTGCCTCATGCAACATCCACAGAGCAGGGGGGGTGGACTCATGTTTCAGCTCTCGAAAACCTATAACCCAGTGATAGAGTTTATTCCTTCCCGCTATCATCTCAAGCCTCATTGCCATGCAGGTGGTCAAAACATCGCTCCGCCAACTACGATCTCAACGACTCACCGTTACAAAGGGGTGGACCTGTTTTTTTCGGTTCAGTTTGCGTGTTTTCTAAGCCATAACAAGGCTTTTATTGGGCTACTCTATAAGGCCAGAAACTCAACGCTACACCAGACATTTTGAATTGAGAAACATCCTGGATGGGAAGTGAAATGGCTTCAGACTTGGTTGATTTTCACAGTTTTGCTGTTGTTAAAACCCCTCAAATTTATGAATCGCCTCATATGGACAGAGAATACAAGCTACAGAGTCTGCAAGACTGCCCAACACCATGAAGATTCAGAAATGCATTAAAAAAATAAATAAAGTTAATTTATATAAAAATATGAAAGAAAATAGAGAAAAAAATAATGAAAGTAGATGAAAAAATTCACATCCTATCTGATAAAAAAGGAGGAATTATAACAAATAACTAGTATAGGAAGGTCTATGTGCCTTTTCATCTGTGTCTATAAAACACTTAAAAGGCCACCAGAAAAGGCATCCCCCATGGCCACACACACAAAACTCATACCCATGGCTTAGAAGATAACTGCGCTATCAATAAAAAAAGATTTATTATTCATAACTGTCAATTAAGTTAAGTGTCTATTCCTGCTTTTTTAAGCCCAAATCTGAGTCATTTTATGAAACTGACACCATTGGTGTAAATAACAGTGATCATGAAGGAAATGTGAAATCGACAAGAAGTCTCAATTTATTCCAAGTTAAAGTTATAATGGAGGATTTTGACCATTTTTTTCAAACGACCCGCCCTCTCCACTTTTAAAAAAAAAGTGCACATGCACAACCCTGTACATGCTCCCGAGAGGAATCGCGTGTGAGAACATGCAAACCCATTTCTCCTCTTGCATGCTCTGTTTAAAAGTTCCTGTTCTCATAGCTCATAGAAGCTTACTTTCCAAAAGAAGATTTGCAATTTTTCCACTATGTCAGACTCACCACTGGTAAGTGAAAATGGGGACGAGCACGTAGGACGGCCTTACTAAATATATCACCAGAATGACTGACAATTAGGAGGACCACTTATTTTGATGATCCACCCAGAACAAGAACATCCTCCAATATACCTTTAAGAATTAATAGTGACTTAGTTAGGAAATATCCTCTCTTTCCATTCTTTTATTGTTGCATTAAAAATATGTTGGCAGGAAAGCTGCCCCCTTAAGACAACTATGAAAGACACATCCTTTTCTTCATGACACCAGATGTATTCAAAACTGTGAATTTTACCAAAAGGTGAGGGATTTTCATGTCAAAGCGAGAGCGGTGATACTCATCTGCGATGTGGTATCTATTTATTTGCAAAACTTAATTCTCCATTATAAAATCATACTCACTCTGGTTTTGTGAAACTTGCAACAAGACTTGAACTGGTGTAAAACATCGACTCGATTTCTCTGTTCCATAAAAAAAAGAAAGTATGAGGAAAAGACTCATTAACAAATCAAAGATGTTTTAGATTAATCAGTCTGGTATGCACAAAAAAACAACGAGGGAAGTTCCTATCCGATATCAATATTGGATATCGGTACGATATTAGCCAAAAAAATAAATCTGGATTATATTGGCCTGCATCTAATATCTCTTATAATCGCCTGCTAATAGCAACACTTTGCTGCTTTTTAAAGTTTCTGTTACCCATTTGTTAATATTAGATGGGTCTAATGTTCTCATACCAATTGTTGCTGATAATTGTTCTCTGTATGAGTAATATCACTGTGTTAAGCCTTTTCTAACATTTTACAGAACAAAATAAGTCATACATTTAAGTTTGATTAGTGCCAATATTGTATCGGGTCAACCCTCAAAGCTACAATATGGTATTGCTTGATTGATTGATTGATTGACTACATTGATCTCAAAGTGGAGAATTTTGCTCCTTACATCAGCTTAAATAGTCAAAGAAGAAGAATGTGCTAAAGGAAGTATGTGCCAAAGTATATACAGTGTCTGTGTCTGTTCCTACATACGACAGCTTTTTTTTTTCTCACAGTAGGATCATTATACAGGGTTATTGCAAAGGGTGGATGGAAATGTATATTTATATATATAGTTACTGCACTGGGTGTCAAATATAGTGAAACACTTATTGCACAGGGTGTCAAATGGTAAAATGCACATTATACATTGCACAAGTTGTTGCTGTTGTAGTGTCACAGAAATGTGAAACTTGTTTGGGACACCCAACCAAAAATGTGTTGTGAAATCTGCAGGTTTCTTTCATTTTTAATTTTTCTATTTTTATTTTTTAAGGATTTAATGCTAGATCAGTGATTCCCAACCGGGGGATACTTGTACACCTAGGGGTCTACGAGTGCATTGAAAGGGATACATGAAAATATTTTACTTATTAGGTAATAAAATAAAATAGAGCTGGGATCTGTTTCACTTTCTGAGGACTCAATTGGAAAATTAAACAAGCTTTTATCAATCGAAAAGTACGTTTTTCTTTTATGTTTGAGTTTGAGCTCTGACACACCTCCAAACCAAGCAGAGGAACAGACTGGATGAAGAGAACAGTCTGGGAGATCAGCTGTTTTTTACAAAAAGCTATAGGAGCTCATCAAAGCAGCTCAGGTGTCTTGATGAAAACAAAGTAAAACTAATAAAGTCAGTCCGACTATCATTTTTTTTCCCTATATTTTGATTCAAATTCAACAACTTTAAATATGATTATAAGGGAGTTACTCAAAGGAACTCTTGTTTTATAAACACAGGTTTATATTATGATTTTATTTTGTATTTATCTGGATTCCTTACTAACTCCCAGGCAACATATTTATGTTGTTTTTTTATTTGAGATGGAAAGAATTAAATGCCTAAGAATTAAATAGTCAAATTCAAAGATTAGGTAAAATAGTTTTTATTTTTACAATCAGTTATTGTGTCACTTTTGGACAATCATCAATACTTTTATATGAGAGGGGTACTCACGGTAAGACGAAATGTTCAAGGGGTAAAGGAGTCAAAAAAAGGTTGGGAATCACGGTTCTAGGTTATCAGATTTTAGAATCAATATAATCTTTTAAAATCTAAAAATCTTCAAATGATGTGTACACTTATAATGTATGTGAAGGCATTCGAACTAGCCTTGCCTTATGGCAACATCTGCCATCAATCATTTGTATCAAGTACTTTTTAATCACCAGGAGAAGGGTCGGCCTCCTCCTTGCAGAATTGCTTAAATTAAGGTAATCTAAGATCATCTCAGTCAGATTAAAGAGTATATTCCATAGATGCCTTTAATAACTAATCTGCCTTTTCCTGTTGAATCATCCAGTTTATTGCCAGCTTCATTAGAAATAGCTTTAAACCTTTCCAGACTGGTAGATATTTGTGACTTTTTTCCACCTATTGATGTACTTCTCTAAATAGGAACCTGATGTTTTACTTTTCGAGATCTTTTAGCTGTTGGACCATGTTGGTTGGAAAATCTCATTTTAGATTTACAGCAGTTAATGGTGGTGAAAAATAAAATTAGTTCAATGGTCTTTTAAGTGTTTCCAAAAAGCAAAAAGAGAAAAAAACATTAGGAAGTCAAAAATCCCAAAAGTTGAATTATTAGATTACCTTTTGGCCTCCACGTTGCTGTATGTCATTGCCACCCATTTTTGTAGTTTCGTCTTATCCAGTCGCCCAATTATTTGTCCGTGATTGGAGGTCTTAAAAGTTATTAGTTAGTCAGAAAAGTTCTGGGAATTCTCTTTCTAGGTTCATTTAAAAGTGCTCTTAGTGTGGTGGACGTTACCTTTGTACTGGAAGAGTAAATGAAATTTGTGTTCCATCCAGCGGATAACATCAATTCTGATTAAAAGAAAAAAAAATAATTCAAATTAGTCTTTGGGAATATTCATTTTGAAACTCAAAAGCTTTGCTTTAAGAAAAAAGATAATGATTTCAATTTAGACTGAGTTATATCTAAAAGATGCACAAAAAAAGAAAAGAATAACCAAATGGTAACAATAATAAATAATTAACAAGCAATAAAAAAACAAACCAATACAATATTATTTATATCATCCATCACGTGCCATCCAGGATGTCTGCATACGTACCACCAGGTATAGCTGCTTCGCTGTCAGACGTCCAAGGAAGCTGAACCAGGGAAGGGGACGGGCTGCTGTCTTTTTGTCCTGTCCCCAGCTGGCCTTTGTCTCCGTTACCAAAAGCAAACAGTTGTCCAGAAATAGTCAACACCAGAGTGTGATGCCTGGTGACCCAGAACCCAACATCAGTTTCATGAGAGCGTATTTAAAGGCATACAGGCTTGAGATTTTTTTAGCCTAATTTTACAAAGTGATTGTTTATGTAGGAAATATTTACCTCCCACATGCAATCTGAGATGCTGGCTCTCCGAGGCCTTCCACCAGTTTGGGCAGAACCTCTCTGGTAGTGGAGCTGTGACCAAGCTGACCGTGGCTCCCGTCTCCAAAAGTGAAAACTTTCCCTTCCTAAAAATACCCAGAATCATTAGATTAGATTTAGATGAGCTTTATTGATCTCACAGTGGAGAAATTCACTGGTCACATATTGGCATAGTAATTAAAGAAGGTGCAAACAAGGAGGAAAAAGGTGCATTAAGAATAAACAATATATATACGGTATATCCAGGTATATACAGTATATCAAGATAAATAAGGATTAAGGTGCAAATGTACTGTACATGTATCACACACAATTAAAAACAAAATAAAAATCTAAATAAAACACCTAATATCTCTGAATGACTTCTTTGATAAAGTTTACGGTAATTTTGAATGTTGGTACCTTGGTCAGCACAGCAGAGTGTGACTCTCCACAGCTGATGAAGGAGATGCCCAGAGGTCTGAGAGCAGGCACCACACAGATGTTAAACCTGCCTGTTCAGGATTGGAGGATGACAAAAGGAGTTCAACACTGAATGAAAGTAAGCTTCATCTGCAGGACTTAAAAAAAAAAGATTAACCTAACATACCTTTTTCATCCACCCTGTTGACCCCCAGCTGGCCAAATTTATTAGCCCCACAGCAGTACACCAGGCCAGAGAGCGTGAGGAACAGAGTGTGGTCCCCTCCGGCAGCAATCTGGGTCACTGGGACTCCGGTCAGGGCACACACCAGAACAGGCCTCTGCTGGATTGCCACCTCCTTCCCCAGGCCCAGCTGACCACGACTGTTTGAACCCCAGGAGAAGACGTCTCCGCCTAAAAATCAGCAAAGAAATGAAAGTTGAGGTGTTTGTTTCACAAAGAAATAGAGAAAAACGTCCACAGCTGGTCTATGTATAACCTTTGGTAAGCGCGAGGGAATGGGCGTTTCCGCAAGCAACCTGGACGATCTGTATGGGCATCGGGATAGGTACTCGACTGCAAATGGATGAGGCAATAAAGGGTTAAGATATATTTAAATTAGAGAATAGAGATGCACTGATCCGATATTAGTATGATTATCAGTTTGGATTTTAAAGAGAAAAAAAATTTGGTAGGCAGGTACTAGATGTCATCAATCTTACCTGCCAGGTTGATCCATAGTGGTAGATCTATTCAGTCTATTTCTCTATATCACCTAATGAGTGTCTGGCTTCAGTTAAATAAATACATTCTATTTTGAACCCTTACAGTGGAATATTTGTTTTCATGATTTCCTTTTCTGACTTTATTCTAACCTGAAGTTAATTTTCAGGTTCTTCATGTGTACGTTCATCCACATCATATTTTCTTGTTTTTATCACAGACTCTAAAGACTGTGAACTGTATTTGTTAACTATGGGATTCTACGGATATCTAAATTCAAGTATTGTGAGGTAAATAAAAAAAAAATGTGGATCTGTGCATCTCTATCAAGATTCACATATTGTGAGTTTCAGTTCATGCCTTGGTCTCTGATTGCTGCAGGGGGGGGGTGTTCCCAGCCCAAGCTGTCCATCATCTCCTGACCCCCAGGAAAACACTTGTCCAGATACACATAGAGCCAGACAATGGTCTTGACCACAAGCCATAGCGACGACATCACCCAGTCCCTCTACGCATCCTAAAATAAAGAAACAGGAAAATAAAGATACAGGAAGACATTAAAAAGCCAGCTGAATCTATACAGACTTATAGCATCAGAATCAAAAAAATTGTCAATGAGTAAATTAAAAGCCTGGAGGAAAGCCTTAAAAGAAGATCTGTGTGAGAGTGATTGGACAGAGGCATGTAAGGAAGCTCAGACTCAATAAGTGGAAGATTGAAATGATTGCAAAATAAATGGTTGATGCAGACCTACATAACGCCAGTTATTCTACATTTAATTAAAATATTCCTGCACAAAATGCAACAAACTCAAAGGTGATTTTTACCATCGCATATGGGAGTGTGAACATATAATGTTTTTCTGGAAAGGGGTGAGGGACATGATCAATAAAATGACAAGTATTAATCTAGCACTATCAGCAAAAATATTTGTTATGTACTTATAGCCTCCTGAAATGCCTTTGAGAAAAAGGGAATATATATTTCTTGACATTTGTTTGCTACAAATTAAGAGTCTTATAGCTAGCTGTGTTTTGGAAAAAAGTCCAAGCACCACATGTAAATGACTGGCTGAAACTAACGTGGTCATGGAAAAAATAACTTATATATTGAAAGGTAAAATAAATTTGAGGAGATATGGTATCCATTCTTATCCTTTCTGGAAGAGGGTGGAGGTAATGGGGTGTCAAGTGTGAGCGATACTGATACCAACTGAGAAGCATTTTATTTATTTACTTTATTATTATTTATAGTTTTGTTCTTTCTGTTATATTGTAATCTTAATTTGGAATATGTTTGGATTTGTTTATATATACTATGCTGTACTATCCTTCAGTGAGTGTTAAAACTAAAAATAATATATAAAAAAAAAGCCCGCTGAAGTCTTGTCATGACATTACTTTTACACTATAACATCTGTAAAAAGAAACAATACAATTTATATTGAAAAAATATTAGTTACCTTTTAATAAAACAAAATTAGAAAGTTTAAAAAAAGTTTGAGTGTCTGACTGCTATATATCTATAGCAACCAATCTGATACAACTCAATGAGACTTTGATATAATAAGGATTTTTAATATAACTACAGTAGGCTACCTCCAATTAATATGACAAGTGTTGATAATATAAAAAAAATATATTAAGTTATTTTAATATCTTCGCTCCTACTGTAATTAACCTCCAGTTTTAGGTTTCGTTACATGAACGATTATAGATGAAACGAAACTGAAACTTAATTCAGTAAACTATTTATGATTCTTACCTGGGGCTATATATATATTAAAAGAAAATATATATATATTAAAAATAAATATTTAACACAACAAAAATATCTCTTCAACGACAACATAATGAGTATGATCAATTTGGAACTTTGTTAAATTAGTTTTAAAATATATGTATATATTTTAAAATAATAAAAATAATTTAAATAAAAAATTGAAATTTAATTTAAAATATTTTAATACATATATATAGATAATGAATTACCAAGCATCTTTCCATTATGGTTCTTTCGTCCAAGTTGTCCATGAGAGTTGTGTCCACATGACAACACTTTTCCGTCGGTTCTGAGGAATAAAGTGTGTCGCTCCCCGCAGCAGATGCCGGTTACCTCCCCTGGTCCGGTCCAACAGACCGGGCCCAGGGCTGCCTGCGCCCCAAACTGTCCACTGGAGCTGTCCCCCCAACAGTACAGCTGCATGTCTGCGCTCAGACTGACTCACTGAAGTCCTCACCGTAAGATTACTTTGTTGATGCTGCGTTCAAATGCTATCGGAAATAAAAAAACTTCCCTTGTGAGCAGGGCCGTAACCAGGATAAGTACCGAGGTCAAATATTCCGATAAATCCTAATATGGTGACTTTTTAAAATATATATTTGGAAACGTGAATAAAGAGAGTTAAATCACAAGCCCATCAAGGAGGTGAATATGTGCATGTTTATTACAACAATTCCAAAATTCACAAAATAGAGTAATTGAGTGAGTGAGTGTTTTTATCATCATCATCATCATCATCATCATCATCATCATCATCATCATCATCATCATCATCATCATCATCATCATCATCATCATAATCATTATTATACTATATTATTGTTGTTATTAATATTTAATTATTATTACTACTAATATTATTCTCAGCATCATCACCATGCATGTGCATGGCACACTAAATAAATGCAATAATATATGGACTTTTATTTTTTTTTTAAACAAATGAGAATGCATACTGATCTTTACACTAATCAAAGTCAGAACAATTTTCATCATATAGTTTGAAATTTCTCTCAATAAAAAAAAAAAATAATAATAATAATAAAAAAAATAAAAAAAAAAGGTGTGTGTTAAAATCTCCGCTCATAAATGTTTCTGTCATTGCTACTAAGGAAGTTACACTGGAAAATGTTCTCTCCTTTTCTTTCAATAATCAGACTACTTTTGGGAAATATGTTGCTCTCTTGCAAATTTCCTGCAACAAAAATATCAAGAACATTTTAAGATAAAAAGTAGACAAAGTTTCTAGACTATATCTGCAGATATTTATCTAGGCCTACTGATGGTTTAGGTAATTCCCCTTATTCAAATCGTTTAGAGCAGGGGTCTTCAACATTTTCCAGGCCAAGGACCCCAACACTGATGGCGAGATGGAGCGGGGACCCCTAATTATATATATTGTATGAAATTGTGTTATAACATACTTGTCCTGTAGTCATTGTATTACAGATGGAGTAATGTAGCGAAAGTAACCCTGGGATTGTTAAAGTATTTCTAGCTCCTGTGTGTCGCTGAATGTGTGCATTGATGACTGAATCTTCTGCCTCCATTTATCTTTTTACTACAGTGTGTTGAATTCATGTTAATGTTTATTTAAAGACATTTCAATTAGTGGAAAAAATTGCAGAGGGGAATAAAAAAAAAAAAAAAAGATTGTGGAACCCTTTATAGCATAGGTACTGCAAGGGGGTCGTGAAATAGGTACTGTTGGAAACCTAGGTACTGTTGAAAACCTCTGGTTTACGGTAAAAGGGAAACAAATAAACCAAAAGAGAATGCCCTTCACTTCCAGTACTTGTTGCAATATAACTTATCAACACAGGTGAGAAAAACATTACAGTGTCTTTGCACGGGTGCCATGCTTATTATTTTTTCTAAATGTATGATTTACTTAATCACGCTAGCTGTTTATTGTCAAATGCTATTTACTACATAAGAAGCATTGCTTCTGAAGCAAACCCTAAAAAAGTATTTCTGCTCTAGGAATCTATATGTCTGCTCTATAAGTGAAACTACGACATAATATAATACATATTGATTTTTTAATTGAGATTTTTTTTACAATAAATCGAACATAACAACATTATGGATGTATCAAACATAATTAATTGTAGCCAAAATAAAAATCAGATGAATGATTAAGGAAGTTTCAACAATCTGTTAAATGTCTTCAATTTGTCACCTTACAAACACCAAAAATTACCATGCATCTATACAATCTTAAAGAGTCCAGATGTTGAAGTCAGAAATCTGTAATCTTATAATAGATTAAACAATGCAGAGATCTTAATCCTAAAGACAAGTGTTCTTTGTTGCAAAATGACATCATCAACCCTCTCTAAAAGAAGATAAAGCTATCTCTGAAGATGTCAGACAAGTCCTGTACTGATATAGCGTGAAATTACACTTGCAGGGAGGCAACCGCTTCAAATGCGACATAAAAAGCCGTATTATGGGTTACAAAGGGTCATATCTTAGGGTCATCTTCTGCAGTCTGTGGACGGTATTTAATCTGCAGGTAGAAGAAAAAAAAGGTTGACTTCTGGGAAAGGCAACTGTTAAGTACAGAGGTCAGGGCCGTACGCAGGGCCAAAAAAATACAGAGGTGAAGAGTCAAAATTTCTAGGCGGGTTCAGCGGCAGTCGCCCCAGAGATCTGGCCATATTCACAGACTTAAGAAGAGCGTTTTTCCTCCCCTGTCTCCCCTGCCAGACATTTCTGACATTATAAACTCTATTTTTATGTCATCTCTCTTTTGAAGCTTCTACAACTGGTTAGAAATGGGTCACAAAAGATATAACAGTATAATTTAAATGAGCTCCTTCATATTTCCTTGAGTATTTAAAATAGACATCCAGATCCTTTTAGACTATAATTTTGATGATGGTGCCTAATATAACATATTATTAGGATAATATTACAGAACACTTCAATTATAATCCATTAAACATCCAACGTTTGAAACAGCTCAGGTGCAGTATCTTCCTTTTCTATCACCTGCTCTCCCTCCATCTCTCTCCTCACTGCTCCTCTTTCTGCTTGGTTCAAAGAGGAACTCGCGTTGACTCAGCCTTTCCCTCCCTATCTTATTTTCCATTTAGTGAAGTACATCAACACTGTCAAAAGCTAAACTGATGAAATGAAAGCAACATGCATTTCAAATTTTCAACGAGTTTTATTTCTCATTTCAACCCTTAAATATTAAATTAAACTAAATTAGTTTCCCTGGTTCCAGAGGAGCCCAATGTCAAAATATAAAAGAGTAAAAAACAGCTGTTATGTATAAATATCAACCAAACTAGATAAGAATGTATATTTAAACAAGTAGTCTATATATAAGATTAATCTACAACATTAGAGCAGTTGTATATAAAAATTTTTACATTGTAAAGTACAATGGTGAGTCTTGAAACAAGGGCAAGATACCATAGAAAAGTATTATTATTGTTTTGAAAATAAAACGGATAATTTACTTTTATTTTGCACACCACTTCCTGTCCCGCCCGATCTGCTCCGTTTCATCCTGCTGAGTTGAGCTCAAGCATCCGGCAGAAAGCAAAACTGAATAAAGGTTTCGTTTTCAGCTGAAGATGTTGCTAACATATTAATCACATATTGAAAGTCGGTTCAAATGGGGGAAATTGCCCTAAAGCATTTAATCAACTTTGGTTCGATGTTTCCATGCTGTCCGAGTAGCTCGCCGGGCTGAAATCTATCCAGTTTTTTCTCACCATCATCAACAACTTAAACTGTTCTCCGCCTGCATTAATAACTCAGTGTGCTCCTCATCGAGAGACTGATAGACTCACTAGGCGGTAGCTTGTATGTGGAAGTTACCATAGTGACATAAGTGCATGTTGACAATGCCATAGTCGCGCTACTTTTGGCTCTTCAAATTTAAAACATCTCACAGTTTAGTGGGAGACAAAGATTTCAGAATTTAAGCAATAAATAGGTTAATAAAATACTCAGGACATGACCTTGGTGTTGTCAATTGGAGTTACGGCCCTGACAGGGGTGGAGGTATTATCTTGAGCCATTAATTATATTAAACCTTAAATTTTGGTGAAGGAGGATGCAGTTTTGCTCTGCTGTTTGATTCCCTTCTCTGATTTAAAGACACTGTCACAAGAGACACTCCTATAGGCATGTGACCCTGCCCCCAAGACTGTGCTTGGGGACAAAGGAATCGAATCACAAGCTCTCTCCTTCTCTCATTGTCATGAGTCTCTTCTGGAAGTAGTTTCCCATTTGAGAAACACACCATCATGGAAGCCCACAAACCAAGGACTGGCAGGTAATTTCAGAACCAGATAAAAGCAAAAACAGATTATTCTGAAAATTTCTCTCTGCCTGTTCTGCATGCATTATATGGGAAGATGTAAAAAGCTCAAGCCCATCTCATATTGGGTTTGGGGAGAAAAAAACAGCTCAAAGGTTCTCTGTCAAAGGGACATTTTGTCTGTTCCCCTTTTATATTCTCCAGGTCCAGGACTAACTCCTCCACACTTTTATCAGCATCTAAAATGGAGAACACGCCCACAGACCCATCAATAAAACCCACAAACACACCTTGCTGCTTGCTGACTGTCATAGTCGATGGATTTTTATGAAGACATACTCTTCCTATTCTTTCCCTGTCCGAGAGGCGCACAACTGTGAGGACGAGCTTTGAGTGCAGGTCACAAGCACAGCTCTTCTCTTGACTGCCCGGGTTGCAAACATACACCATGTAGCACCCCGTTTTGTCCAAGCAAGCCTTAATGACAGGACCTTCAACTTTAAAGGAGCACAGCCTGACTCGAGATAGGTCTAAGACGTTGATAGAGTTGTTATCAGTGGACAGCAGTGCATAGCTCCCATTAGGTGACATTTGGAAATCTTGTGGTTGACAGTGAAAGGTATCTGGCAGCTGGAAGTGCCGGCATACTGTCTCCTCTGACAGCTTCCAGGTGTACACCGCTCCAGAGGCAGTCAGCACAACCACAAAGTCTGGGTGATCTAAAAGGGTGTTGAAAGTGACAACATACTCTGAGTTCTCCGTGCAGGAGAAGCGTTTGCTGATTGAACCAGACCACAGGCTTGCAGCCAGCAGGTCTCCATGATGGAGGCCAACCAGAAACGTCCCCTCAGCTGATACCTGAGCATCTGACAGATACTGGTGAATGCTGCATACAATACCTCCACATGGAAGTTTCCAAACATGGGATAGGCCATGTTTGGATATGCTGACTCCAAACTTGCTATTAGGAGTGATCAGTACATCTGCAGCCCCACCGCCACTGATCCGGGCAATATTCTCACCCGTTTCAGTCTGCCAGATGTAAATCTCCTCCCCTGAGAGGGAGAGAAGGAAGCTGCCGTTTGGGGAAAGCTCCATCTTTTCCACAGGGCCTTCATGCACAAAGGAATATTTTGGAAATGAAGCATCTAAACTCCATTTCCATATATTCTCTAACCCATCTGTGGTGTAGAAGGACTTTCCTGTTTGATCCACCACCACACCTTTAACTCCACTCCTCATTCTGGTTGCTGTACCTGCAGAATTGATCATTTCTGCATCCCAGACAGTCAAGCATCCATTCTGACTCACACAAATAATATCTGAGGCTGTTCTGAGTAGCGTGAGGGGCTGTGTGTTGGTTTGTAAAGAGAGGACACACTCACCGGTGCTGACCCTCCACACTAAGATGAGTGGGTAATGGTCCAGCAAAGCTAGGAAAAGATGTCTATCCAGGGAAAGTACTGCTTTAGTGAAGGATTTCCCTTGAGGAGCCAAGAACTGGTCACACATCTCCCAGTTACACATGTTCCACAACGTCACCTGCTGACTTTGACACACCAACAGAGTGTTGGCAGCTTTGGAAAAATCTGTGTTGAGAACACTGGAGGGTTTACAATGATCGAAGTTTTCTCTGATAAGTATCAGTGGTTGTTCTTTGTCAGCAATGTCCCATAAGGCTAAGCTCCCGTTCTCGTCCACGCATACCATCTCTTGCTCCTCTTCACAGAGGATTACCTGTATAACTGCCCTGTGGGCTGAGTTTAAACAGCAGCCAAGAAGATTGCCGGTGGTCAAGTCAAATATTGACACTGTTCCGTCTGCCTGTCCACAGTAAACGCTGAAAGTCTTGAAGGAAGCAACCAAACACATCACAGAGCTCTGACACTCAAAAAGAGCCGAGGTATTGCTGGAGATGTCAAACACGATGAAATACCTCTCCTTTTTCCACCACATGCATAACTTTTCCTCACATGACACAAATCCTTCAACCATACTCTGAGTTTGATTCGATTCAGACTCTGTTTTCAGTGATTCCTTCACCTCTGTAAGCCTCTCTGGATCTTCCACATCCCACACAAAGAGCTTTTTGCATTGAGTTGACAGCAGTAGAAATTGAGAGCTACTTTTGACTCCTGCAAACTTCACCTCCTGCTGCTTCAGGCTAAGTGACAACTTGACTACATCACAAGTCAAGCCTTTCCAAATCCAGGCAGAACCATCCTCTATGATCTCTGCCACAACCCCACATTCTGTACACACAGTTTCCGCAACACTGATTGTTTTGTTTTTAGGATTTGGTCCTAGACAGCGAATGGGAAGAACAGAGCCGGAACTGGATGAAAGAACCAATCCTACTCCTTTTCGCTTTTTCCTCCTGTCTAGTTGGATCTCTCTGATATATCTCTCAAAGGCAGGAAATCCATCAAGGTAAGGAAGGAGGCTTGACTCCATCACTGTAGGCAGCTGCGGGGGTGAGCTATGAAGGAAGCAAGCAGAGGACTTCAGTATGTTTGCTACCAGCCATCTTTCTCTTAAAAACTTTGTAGAGCCTTCATCAGCCTCCAACATGGTTACTAGATCACTGAGCAGGCCAGCTCGAAGCATAGCTTGGTGAAATCCTAAATCCATCAACAACCCTTCTTCCATTTCTTCCAAGCAGCCACTTTGTTGCAAATGATGTGGCAACTCTAGGATCTTTCTCATGTTTACCCAACAAACGTCTTCAGTAACAGAGAAAATAAACGGCTGGCTCTCTGATTCATTTTTTGCTTCAGATGCACAATTTACAACAAAAGGTTTTTCATTTCCAACAGCCCGTCTCCCACTGAAATAGTCCACCATCTCTGAATGGATCTTCTTCCTCGCTTCATGGGTGCTCAGGTACTTTTTGGTCCCCACCAGCTTGAAATGTCGGCTCACCCAAAACAGAACCTGGGAATCGGCCATCGACCGTCGGATGAGGAAGTTTTTCAAATCTATCAACAGCCTCTCTACATCGACCTGTGAAATTTTTCCTTCACATTCAGGATGATCATGGGACAGCAGATCCACAAGCTCGGACTCGCTGAGTCCGGTCCTGGAGAGCGAGACGTAAGAGACCGTACGGGCCACCAGGGATGAGCCGTGTTTCTGTTCCAAGTGCTCCAAGAGAGCAAAAATGGACGAATGGACGCTGTCCGGGAGAGACGACTCGTTCACATCTGAATCTAAAAAAAGGAAAAGAAAGGAGATAGTAACCTGACTATTTGTTAAATCACACGTTAAAATGTATGTGTAAAGTCTAAAAGGAAGTTTTACCAAATAATTAGGAAATGTTTTTAAAATGTTACCATCCAATGATGATTAACGAGTAAAAAAATGATGTTTATATATTTGTGATAACATTGTGCATTTAAAATATCCTCTTTATTTAGTTTAAAAAATCAAACCAAGAAGTAATACTGAGGTATTAGGAACTATCGGAATAGTATTACTTACAAAAGATTATTTTGCTTGTTTTCTTTTATTTTTATCACTTTTACAGCATTTAAACAGGGATGACCAGCTGTATCTATTATGTTCTATTTGGGTTTTGGGACACCCTAAATCCTTGAAATCCTGTGTTCCAGTCAATTGAGGCATGCATAATGCCTATTTTGTAAAACAATGGGTTGATTCTAGGACCAGAGGTGGTAGTATTTTTTTTTTATTTACTTGAGTAACAATTAGAAAAACATGTACTTTTAGTAGTAGTTCACTGTGCCATAATTCTTATTTTACCTTAAGTAATATTCTTGTAAAGTATCGCTACTCCTACTTGAGTATAATGTCTGACTATTCTGTCCTCTGTGAGTAATTTGAACGTTTCCAAAATCAAGTAAACATAAAGGATACTGTATTAACAGTGGAATTTGTTACCTTATCCTAAAATATATACAGTCCTCATTGCAAGGATTGGTTTTCTAAGTTTTATATATATAAAAAAAAGGTTAAAGTATCTCTAATGCATAAATTTGTTCTTTTATATTTGTGACATTTATTTGTATTTTTTACACATTTCAGTCTTTAAAATGCCAGAACTTGCACATAAATTATGCTTCCCGGCATCATTTATAAACATTGAATCTGATGTTTTTATCCAATAGTTACTCAGAAGTCAAGTAACCTTTATACCAAACACATTGTTGCTTTACTTGAGTAAAAGAAAGTTATTCAACCTCTTAAATATATATTTTATACCCTGCACATACAGATGGACAAATGTGTCTACATCTCAGTTAATTTTTTTTTAAATCTGTTTTTCTGTTGCTTCACCAGTGAAATTTGAAGAGCAAGTTTTTCTATAAGATAAAGTATTAGTTATACAAGGTTATGCATCAAGTCAGCATGTGCATTGCTGTCTTTTCACAAGGAAACCAGAGACTTTAGCTGCTGTAGCAGCTTATGCTCTTAGTTTCAGTCCTACCAGAGTGCCACAGTGACGTGAGTGCATGCAGCAGTCGAGCATAAAGAGGCAGACGGCAGGAGGTCAGTGCTTGGTTCACCAGTGCTTGTTGTCCAGAAGTAACCTTTCTCCCTGAACAGTTCAGCAGTGATTCCAAAAGCTTGATGCACTGTTTTCTGTCCACAGATTGGAGCTGTATACAAGCATATCCAGCCTCCTCCTCTCTGCTGCCGGATACAGAGCATGGAAGACCACCAAGTTGGGAGTAGTGTGATTTGATGGCCTGCAGGAGACCTGTTCTTTTGGAGGAGACGGTGATGATGAGTTTGACGGCATCAGGTAGATGGGACGGGAGGCTGCCGATGATCTGAGAACCAACGTTGTTTTCCAGTTGATCCAAGCCATCGAGGATGAGAATAAGAGGATGCTCCGAGGAGGGAAGCTGGGTGAGAAGAGACGCAAGATGTCCTTCAAGTTCAAACAGAGAAACACCCACTTTTATGAAGTTGGAATGAAGTTCTTGAGAAGCAGAAGGGTCACCATCACAGACATGTTGCCTTTGAGAGCAGCTGCAGTCATCTGGGCTGCTGCATTTGTAGGAATCAGGTTCTAGCTCGGTGATACACTCCTCATATCTGTGAACGATTTGATAACAGAGTCTGGAAAGCAGATAACAGGGAGATGTGTCGACTGAAAGGCTACAAAAATAACAGATCACCACTGGATCACAGCCTGATAGCCAGGCCTTTATCTGCGAAAAGACAACATTTTTGTTATTATTACAAAACCAAAATAATCTTTTCTCACTTTTTTAAATTTTACAATGAAACTAACATTAAAGAAAGAAATCAAACATTCATCGAGTGAAAAAAAGATCCTGGGCTTGATGAGAATCATTCGGTGCTAGAGCACATATATATATATATATATTTATATATGAACATATACATATATATATATATATATATATATATATATATATATATATATATATATATATATATATATATATTTATATATGAACATATACATACCTATGCATGAAAACATGAAAAGTGTTAAAGCGTACACTCGAAGAAGTGTACGCTTTGACACCCTACAATATTGAATGACATCAAAATAATAAATGTTCTGTGAAGACTGATTTAAATCTTTTATGTTTTTAATATTATGTGAATATCAGGCAGCCCCAATATTCCCAGGTCCCGGAAACGCCCCTGACGTGTGTCCACACCTTTAATATCTGTCAACTGACCTGCTGAGCGCAGTGAGCGACCAACACAGTCTTCCCAGTGCATGGACCTCCAGTCACCACTAGTGGGTTCTGTTGATCAATCTGTTTTACATAAGCTCTTATCTACAATCAGCAAAAAGAAGGATGAAGCATATTTTGGTTACATATCAGTATCAACACAACAACAATAATAAAGATAATAATAATATAGCTCAATCCTTCCTGACCTCTTCCTCCTCTGGTTGAATAATGCTATAAAACTGAGCTAGGATGCTGCACAGATGCTCCTGTTGGGCCCACTCTCTGGACGGAGCATCAATAACAGAAGCTTTTCCTCTGAGCTGAGAAACGTTGCTGCTGTCAGTCATTGCCATGAGGTCAGAGAAAACCTGCTGGCACAGAGCGTCTGCGTAGGCTCGTCTCCTGGCTGTGGTGTAGCCGTGCCGGCGGTCGCACTCAGTGGTCGTGGAGTAGAGGAGAAGTTGGTGGGAGGAGAGGAGAGCAGGGAGGAAGACATCACATAGCTGTGATAATAACTCAGAAGGTGTGGGGACACTCTGCTCAAAGGGCTCTGGCTGTAAATGAAGGAAATAGAAATTTGTTTGGTGAACTGAAACATAGGGTTAGTCGACTTCAGTCCTGTTTACATGTGCCTACATTTAATGTCTCCCTTTAGAGCAACTTCTACCTTCAACTCTGGCTGCAGCTCTGAATTTCTCTGAGTTTTTCCCCTCTCTCCGTCTGCATTGACGACCTTGTGGACATAGATCATGCATCTGTTGGCGATGTCCTGAACGGGGCAGTTTTCCAGAGCAAATCGAAGATCTGTATCCAGAGCTGGAGACAAAAAGAAATCCAGAGTCAGCTGTTTTTAGCTCAGGAGAATCAGGATCCATCTGATCATCTGCTTTTAAAGTCCTTATCCTTTTCCATTTTTTAAATGTAAGTGGGAGGGGGGCTTTTTAGTGTTTGAATATTTGGAAAATGCTTGTAAACCTTTCATGAGTCCTTTTCTGCCTCTTAAGAGCTACAAAGTTGGCTTCTGAATCAGCGGTGTGCTAAAGGACTAGCAGAGATCTTATGGAACCCAGACTAACTTATCAAATAACGGTTTCACTCAGATATGTCAAATTAGGACTGCGTTCTCCAAAAATAGTCTTACATCTTATAAAACACAATTTCTTAGATATAATACTTGTTGGTGAAATTAAACACAAATTAAAATTGGCATCTAAACCAGACCCAGTTTAAGAACCAGCTTTAGCACAAAGATCAGAATTTAGGATGATTTGAAACCAAAAATGATGTAAATTGTCCTTTTCTTTAGATAGATGTAGTTCTCAGTATGTATCACTCAAACTTTACTTATGGGTTAAATCTAGGGTTGAAACGATTAATCGTATTAATCATGATTAATTGATTATTTGAATAATCGTCAACTAATCAAGTAATCAATTACTCGTTAACTGGAGTAGAGATACTCTAAAACATGTCTTTAGCTGACAGAGCAACCCACTTATACCAAAATTACAAAATTTCAAACATTTGGCATTTAAGATAAAAAAAAAATTGTCTGTCAATATTCTCTATTCAGAACTCCTTAAGTGGAAAATTAAAATTTTACTTAGTTTACTTTAGTAAAAAGTCCTCTGCCAGGAACCTTTTGCTATCTGCATATTATTTATTAAAAAAGAATTGACATATTAATTAATTTGCAAAATAATAGCACACTAGTTAAATATTTAACCTATTGGCTGATTTATCTGAAGATAAGCACCTGATTTATTAGAAATGTAGTTTCCAATTCAAATTGTGTTGGAACCTTGAGGAATGCTGACGAAGCAAAGATTGAAAGTCCCTTATTTCACTCCCTGAATCTACTTAGATTTCCAATCAATGGGAAAAAACAGTGTGTTCTGGGGGGTCAATATGTCTCTTTCCCATAAAGCCCCAGCTAAGGCCAGGGATCCCTGAGGAGATGCTGCATAGACTGCAGATCCACTAAAATAAAATGAACAAAATCTTTCTAAATAAATAAAGTTTTTTTTCTTATTTACCTGATCTGTAGAAGGCATGGGCTCTCTCTGCAGTTATAAGTCTGTTCTGTTCACACAGACTCACAGCTTTCTGCAACACCTTCCTCAAATCTTCTCTGTTCTGCATCTTCTTATTCTCTTCTCCCTAGTGAGAAAATAAAAATGTTGCTTTTCATTTTCTTCTCTTATTTTCTAAGTTCCACTAAATTATTAGATATTTACCTTTAGTAAATTATATGAATGTGAAACAACACTACACTATGTTATGTTTGTAGTATTGTTATTTTCTATATTCTTAACACTGATATTGAACGTTTTATGATGAAATAAAGGAGTTTGATTTCCTTATTTATCTGTTAATTGACTGATTTCTATACATTTTCCTGAAAATAAATGACATTTAAATAAACATAAAAACAAATCTAAAACATGTTATTAAAACCAGTGTGAATTTAAATAATATGTCTGCATTAATCACCAGAAGGCTGCCGGCGGATTCCACAGAAGCTGTCTGGCGGTAGGAGGGAGGAACTGCGTTCTCGTCTCTCTGGTACACCCTCTCCAGCTGTTGGGTGCAGACACCCACCTGCTGGCATGCCTGTAGCAGCAGCTGGTACTCTGACACCTCCACCTGGGAGGGCAGAGCGGCTGATCCATACTGGTGTCCCACCAGAGCCTGCAGCACCACCATGTGGATTCAAAAGAATAGCAGACAAAGAGGTGTGGGCTCTTTCACACATGATCCTGTAAAGCTTGGGTAATTATTGGTTAATTACAATGCAGCTTTTAGCTTTACAGTGAGAGCACAAGCTTAGATCTCTATATTTAGTTTCTCTGTGATGCTGCTGTTTTATTTACCAGTAAAAAGGGTCCTGCTGAGTTCTTTCTGCACTCCTCAATAAGCTGCTGCCTGGTGTTTGCATCTGGCCAACACTTAGGATCACTGGACTCAAATGGATCAATCAGCTTCAGAAACACACACATGCACACACAAAACAAACAAAGAGAGACATAACTGGAAGCCGGTACAGAAAACTTCATTAGCTGCACCAACCTGCAAACAACCAAGAAATGGCTGAATGATGTATGATGTTTGTATCTAATTACACAGGCCACTGAATAGAGAGCGCTACACAATGGGCTGATCGACTTGTCCAGAGGTGATTTTACACACACACCCACACACATGTATTTAGAAGCACAAAGCATGCAGAGCCGTCGTTTTGCAGCTGTTCACCGTCTTTGCTGTCATATGTGATTAAGGGAAGTTGAGCAGAATTGATTAAACCTTTACAGGAGTGGTTTCAGGCAGGGAGTAGGAAAAAAAACACACAACAAATACAATCAAAAAGCTGAAAATAATCAACAGCAGCACCTTTAATATCCCCCTGCCTAAACCCATTTACTGCATTTAAGTTTGCACCTAAATACCTATTAATATTTAGCTCAATGCCAGAATATTTACAAGAGCATTTATTTAAAACCAGAATGCTAAAAGGAACCAATGCAAAATGATCAGATAATTTATGAGCAATAATGTTGAACTCTTAGCTCCTGCTTTACTTACCCTGACATCTAGTGCCAATAAGTTCCTACAGTGCTCTCTATACCTGGGAAGCACTTTCTCCCTGAGAGCTCTCCGCTCGATTATGCTGTCTGACATGCAAAAAAATAAAACATAAAGAGAAAACAATTGCACAAAACCTAAGAATGCAAACAAAATAAACTTTTAGACAAAATTCTCTGATTATAAACTGACATATATATGTAAATACTCTACCTTCTGGGTTGGAGCACACATAGATTTTGACACAGGATGAGCTGCAGCAGGAATGTGACGAGTACCGGCCTTCTCCTTTAGAGGGCATGCCTACTCTGTGACCTTCTAATTTAATATATTTAGAAGTAAATATTTTTCCAAGACAATAATAACTGACTAAACCATAAAGTTGATACCTCTCCTCTGAACTGGTCTTACTGTGTCCTCTCCTGTCAGGAAACTCTGGGCTCAGGTTTTGTTTACAGACTGCAATATCCTGACCCCACCCATTCCTGTTAACTGGAAAACACAATCACTCCAAGTCTTTATGTATGCAAGTGCTTATATTTGCTTCAACAGACTTTTGACATTTTTCACCTTGCAAATATATCCGTTTCATCAGGTTGCAACCAGAACCCATTATGCATATCTGGAGGGATTATATGAGAGAAGTGGGCCTTTAATTCAGCCACTTTAAGGCACATACAACCAGATTTAGCTGCAAATACTTTAAAGTTAGATTGAATGGAGGTTCTGACCAGATATTTTAGAATCATAACACATATTTCTATTTGAATTTAGTGCTACTTTGACTAGGACGTTCTAACAACTGGCTTTTGAATATTTTGTTGTTTTCTTGCAGGTTCCTGTTCTTTCTATCTTCCGGAGGATAGCAGTCAGATTAACCCCAAAGATTTTTCTGTATCTAGGTTCTGAATTATAACAAAAACTTTATATAACTTCTTAGATCTTATTCGAACAGATCTTCTTGTTGGTATTTCACATTTGCTTCAAACGTGTAAAAGTTCGACAGGTTAAAAAAAACTCCATCGCGATGATTGTATCCATGCAATTATTCAGACACATCAGAGCAAAACTGTTTAAAACATTTTTTTATTAATGAACTTTTTGTACACAATAAATACAAACTCTATTTTTGTACAGCCAATATTAATACGCTGAAAGACTTTAGCTCCTGTTCTCATCATTGTCACAATGGCAACAGTCTATGAAGGGAGAAGGCCAGTTTGTTTCACTGCATCATTGATCCTGGCAGGCCGCGCAGCACATGAATCAATCAGAATTATAAAAAAAACATAAAAACCAAAGATTATCTCAGTGCTGCATTAGATAAGAAAGACTGTCAAAAAAAAAAAAGATGCGGAAAGAGGAAGGTGGCAATCAAAAGTCAGAAATGCTTGGAACAACACTCCAGATCTTATGAAAAAATCCCTCTGAACAACATCATTAAAAAAAAAAAAGTAAAGGAGGGTTATACAAATCTGTCATGTAACTTTTTCTTCATTGTTAGCAGAAAAAAATGTAAGTTTAACCTAAAACTTACCACAAGAGGCCCAAGAGTGCCTGCAGAGATTTTCAACCAGGGGGTTTTCTGAGTTATTTAATATATATATATATATAGGACTTTAGAAATTCGTCTTATAGCACTGGGTTGAGGTACTAATTCACCACAAGGTTTGTTTAAATTATTCAATATGAAATGTTTCATTGTAGATGAAACAAAAAAAAGGAACCTGAAAATATATTAAAGGGCAAAAGGGCCCAGTAGACCGAGCTCTTCTACACCAAGAGCTGACAAAAGCAGATGAAAAACACCAACCAATAAAAACCCTTTCATAATTTAAACAAATTACTAAATTCATCTCTTTTAAAGAGTTTTTAGGCTTTTTATGCACCAGCCACCCTTGATAAAAGAGTATCTCTAGAGCACATATGAAAAGATGAAACTCATATCTCTGTCGCTACGGTAACCCTATGAAGAGTTATCTCTGTCCATGCTCAGGGTACTGCTACTTTGCAGGGAAGGTAAAAATAAATAAAAGTGCTACAACGCCCTCTAGGGAAGGACTTTTAAAGGCTTGAATAGTAGAAGATGAGGGTTATTTATCAACTTTGAGCAGAAAAGGGAAAAAAAACAAACACCACAGATAAGTATTGAGCTCCATCTGAGCATTATTCTCATTTCTGTAGATTAAATCATGTCAGGTAAACATGGAGCTAAAGAAGCTATTTGATCTTGAGGTTAAACTCTTCAGTCTTTGTTTCTGGCCTTCAATAGTTGTTAAATTGCGACGTTTTTGTTACCACATAGTGAATACCAACAGATACAGTGCATTTTAAAGCACCAGCAGCCTTTCTCAATTGGTGATAGGAAAAAATGAAAAATAATTTTTAAAAAATCCCACAGGGCACAGAATGAGAGAAGATATAACAACTTGTTTGTGTAATATAATAGAGCTGTATGTATGTATATTATAGCCACTGATTCACACCGACTGCCCAAAGACAGAATGAATGTTTAGAGGAGAGACGTGAAGCAGCGATGGGAGGAGAGGCGAGTGCAAGAAAAGCGAAGATCCAGCCTCCGTCAGCTCTTGTTCCTCCTCCTTTCCCTCCTCCTTTCTCTCCTCCCTCCTGTATATACAACACCCTTTTCAGCACATGATGAAGGTAAAACTTCCACTACATATCAGACAGGGTATTCCACTCAGGTCGGTTACTTTATATGAAACCATGTGCATAAACATTCCTATGACAACAGTAATGTACTGTACTAATACACATTAAATACGTATAATGATAATGACTATATATGGCAGGGGAGGAGTTGAAAGCAAACCCACCACCTGGGTTTTCGGCCCTCTTCCCTCAGCCCAGATCTGCACCCTAAACACCCTCAAAGAGAGTTGAGTTTTTGTTTTGTTTTTTCTTTGCACATCTTTTTGATGGAGCCTCAAAACTCGCAAAACGTCGCTAAGGGCAACAGATGTATACAGTCCCTCTAAAAGGCTGGAACAAATGTGTTGATTATGAGGCCAGAAAGGTTTGTTTAAGTATTATTTTGGATTAATTAGTCTACTATCAGTGATGGGTGAATTTTAAAAGCAAATATCAGCAACACAAAGCTGGATTCTCCTTCATCCCTGACAGAGTCAGGGTTATACATACAGACTCTAATATATCCATATTTTGCAGCTGCCACCACCGTGCTTAAAGCCTTATCTCCACTTCTCTACACTGATTCTTGTCTCATCTGGCTGTTAAAATGTTGATTTTTTTTAAGCTCAAGCAGCAGAGATGTATGTATTAATGTATTTGTGCACTGCTGCCCATAGTATTAGAATAATTTTGTTATTTTTAAACACGTTCCTAATTTTATTAGAGCTTTAATTTTGAATATATTAATATATTAATAGGTAAGAATAAATGATCCCTTTAGAAGTATAATTACATAGTAACAATACCTATTTGAACTTATTGGGCAACAATATTAAATTAGTAAATTCACAATAAACTTGCTTGAAACAAGTTTTTTTTTTTTTTTTTCAGTATTATTACTCTAAAAGAGCCATTCATATGGATTATTAAAAGGCAATTCCTAACATGATGTTCACGGTAAACATCCATAAAACTCTTAATGGCCCCGTAGGTTCTTAAATCGTTTGGTGACCTCATCAAAAAGCGACTGCATCTGCTTTTAAATATATATACAGATTTGGTTCAAAGATAGTTGGATCCAAAAGAAAAAGCTGAACTTTTTTGGTGAATGTTAACCACAGTAGATTAAAAGTGATCAAATACTCCCAAACGTTACATTCACCGCTTTATATCCTAGCAGGTTTGAAGAAAATATAATAAAAAATGCGCCTAAAATCAGATTTTAACTGTCTGATAAAAATCTCAGCTTTGATGCTTTGCTTTTCTTTTGCCTTTATAAAGATTCTGCCAGTTTGGGGCTCTGATATTTTACGTATGCTTCATTATTTAACTTCATGAGGGGGTTTAAAAGGTGCAGAGGGGACAAACTGCCTTAAATATGTTGTAAGCCTAAAAGGTCTAAAGAACCCATCCGTGATCCCCATGAAGAACGTCTCCTCCTCTTCATCCTGCTCCAGTTTGCTGCTCATTGAGGCCAGATTGGTGAACAGGGGCTTGGAGAACATAATGCTGGACTTTAGCAGGAGGCTAAAATGGTGATTATTTAATCGGACATGCCAACAGTTCTCTCGGGGAGAAGTGTCACCGTGGTTCGATTGAATTCCTTTGTCTTTGCTTCATTTATGCTTGCATCAGTTCAGAGCGTATCATGCGCTCTGCAACAATGTCTTTTCTGCAACAGTATCCACCTGCCAAGCTCGTCCGTCACACCAGCGTGATTTCCACCTCTTCCGTCTTGTCGCTCTTCTCATGCGGTCGGCGGGGATGCTGTTTGGGTGGAGGCGGAGCGGCTCGCACCTGCAGCACGCAAAACAAATCAGTTAAATGAAAAAACAAACAAACCAATATCCGCTTCACATTTCTTTTTTTTTTTCATTATTAATAAGAAAAATTATTTAACCTCACGTTGGAATACCTGTGATGAAACTTATCAAAGTTTTGTATTTATAAATGAAAAAGGTAATGATTTTTCACCAGCTCAACGCCCTGTTTAAATCATCTGCAAAATATATTTCTTAAATGGCATTGAAAATCATTATTTTTCAGCTACATACCTCATTTAAAGCAAACTAAAGGAAACATGTCAACATGAAAATATATTGAGTTCTAGAACATCTTATCTTGATTTTATTACAAACAAACAGCAGAATAACATCTACATAATTATAATAAAAATATTGCAGCGAACTTGTCCCACTCCACGTACCACAAAGATTCAGATCAGGAATCAGTCTTTTCAGACATTAAATCCTTTTATTCAATTAATAAATTCATTGATAGCAAATATCTTATAATTAAAACTCTAATTGTATTTTAAGTTCTGATAACAGGAAAGTTAAAGGTATAGATGGCGATCTTTTATTTTCAGGTGGATCATTTAAATGTTGTTCTCCTAAATGTCAATCATTCTGGTGATATGTTTATGTAAGACTGTCCTACATGCTCTTCCCAGTAGCTATCTTTTTCTGTGCATTGGCACTTTCAGGCATACGTTTGTGGTGAGCTACAGTTTCAGAGAGTCATTGAAGCTCTCCTTTCTCACAGTGGTTCTTTGAAAATGGCAGAGGTTGGTAAGAGAAAAATGTCAACAAAGTGTATGAGAAGAAAAGAAAGGCCTCAAAAGAGGCAGATATATGCCTTGCATGAGAGCTCTCCTCACAAAGCATTATGGGATTTGCTGTCACAGCGGCCCACTGTCGCCATAGGCTGCTGCTACCCGATAGTGGCGACTAATAACAAAGATGGTGCAGTGGAGGAGGAGTTATGTGACCAACGGATCAAAAGGAATGATCATCTGTCCAAACGGTAAATTAATTGAGTTTGCTATAAAGTCCATTATATATTCCCCACTGTAGGTGGACACAGTACGGTTGTATGAGCAATGAGAACAGCACATTTTAAACAGCACATGCATGAGGAGATATGAGCTTGTGCATGCTTGCAAGCAATTTTTTATAGTGGAGAAGGTGGGTCTTTTAAAAAATCCTCCACAATACCTTTTAAAGTGTATAATGTTTAGAAGTAACTGGTTTTATTGTAGCTAAACACAGACTGTGTTTATTCAGCTGTGAATTTAAAATAGTAAAGAAAACATTACAGAATTAATACTTTAAATGTTTATGCTTAATAACTTTAACGTGTTGATCACATTCTGGATACGTTTGATACTAACCGGTCGTAGTTTGCCCGACCCGCCACCTTCAGCTGTGAAACGTAACGGCTGAGTCGAAGGAAATCCTGGAGACACTGGACTCCTGCCCGAGCTGTGATCTACAGAGGGACAGACAAGCGCAGCGTCAGCAGAGACCTCTCTCTGGATCGATGAGGTGTTTAAAGAAAGTTCTGAGCCTGTCTCACTGTGAGAGGACAGCTGTCCTTTGTAAGAGGCAGCAGGCAGTGGAAGCTTGTGCTCTCCGTTAAGTGCTGTGGAGGGTGAACGCGGCAGAGGAGGAGGCGTGGAGGTCTCTGGGCTGGTGAAAGGGCTGATGGGAGGCTGGTCGTATAGAGGCAGAGGCGGCAGGGAAGACGGCAGCTTTGAAGATGGAGAAATCTAGAAAAAAAAGCCAGGAGTGAAACTTATTTGAAAATAAGAAAACTCTAAAAAAAAAAAAATGTACTAATCACTTTAAAGAAATAAAATAAAATAAATATATTGGTTAATTTATATAATTCAGCTTTTTATGAAAACACAGCGAAAGAGACAAAGAGCTAAATAAATGAAGGTAAACACTTTAAAACATTAAATATGCAATAATTTGAATGCAACAGCAACAAAAGATAGTTTAAAAACAACTCAGGTGGTATTAAATAAAACAATAAAATTTGTTGTCGATAATTAAACTATTTTTAAATTAGAAGGTTTGAGAATGTTTAGTTAATGCTATTTATTAAAAGTTTTAAAAACTTAATAGTAAGAAGTCATTCCTTCATTTAAGGAGTCACCTACAGCTTTATTAGATGTTTAATAATTTTCAGTTAATCATTTTTTTATGTTTTTTGACATACAGGAATTTAATTTGGATTTTTAACAAATATTTCTCCCTTAAAACATCTCACAGGAGTAAGTATGGAGTGGGGAAAACTTTCTTCTGACTGCTTTCAGGGCCTGGAATGTGCTACAAGAAGCTTCTCACTGAGGTTAAAAGGGGTAAGACTACATTGGTTATTACGAATTATGAGGAAAAAGTTTCATTTCCACTGACAGAAACATTTTTTTAATGTATTTTGTTTACCTTTAATTGAATAATTTCCACTTCCAGAGGATGTAAACAAAAGAAAGTTTCTTTAAATAACTAGATATTTATTAGTTCAGTGAAACTCCAAGGCATGTAAGCCAATAGCTCAAACCGTTTGGTATAACTAAACCTATCTACCACATACAACACCTCAAAGTAGCTAAAAGCTGCAGCAATTGGTCTGAGGGGTAAAAGGAAGGGAGAGGCTGCATCCTTCCTGCTGCCAGGACGCTAATAGGGCAGTGCTCTGTGCGACAGATAAGAACATTTTTCTGTAATTGCGATGCTTAGTTTTGATGAAGCCGGAATTTAATTTTTGTGATTCACTGTTTGTGAACTCTGTTGATAAATTAGCTGGAGAACAGACAGGAAGGGAGGGTAGGCGAAGTGTAAAGTGGGCCAGCAGACTACTCTCCTTCCCAGCCCTGAGGACAGACCGATGGGGCTGATTGTGCAGCTTAGCTCCAGACTTAGTTGTTGTTAATTACTAACCTGTGAAGATTATCTCCATTCTTGCTTTCTGAAATGACAAACAGCAAAACTACTGTTATATGTACCTGTGTGTCATTTAGTCCTCCTCCACTCATCTCCCCATTCTCCGTCAGATCCTCCACCAGCACAGAAGGGAAAACCCCCACTCGTCCGTTCAGTTCGCCTTCCCAGAAGCCATCGTCTGTCTGAGTGTCGCGGTTCAGCAGACGGATCACAGCGCCCTCGGAGAAGGAGAGCTCCTCGTCCGCCTGGCCTTCATAATCATAAAGCGCACGAACGTAGACAGCTGCATAGAAAGAGAAAGAGGGAAACAAAGACGGGGAGGAGAGCAATCAGGGTTACTCAGAGGGAGCAATTATTCTCAGCAAAATATATTTCCTTTTCCACTTTTCCCTCATTGTTGTAAAGAAAACTTTACACCCAGCTGGACAGAGGGGATAAAAGACACAACCAGCAATAACAATGATTGTGAGATGGGATTTCCTTCGTTTGATTCAAGCATGCAGGTGGAGCCGACAAAGCAAAGCTACAAAGATGTCTGAAAGGAAACGGAAAACAACCTGGAAAACATGCAAGTTGAAGAATGAAGCAAAATATAAAAGAATACAGCAGATAGAAAATAACGATCACAGCTCTGCTTGTGTTTGCTTTAAAGATAGAACAACATAAAAACTCTATATAGACCGGGACATAAAATGCCTGAATTAACAAGTTGGTTTACTGGGCCAGGTTTCATCATCAACTACATCTTTAAACATTTGGCCGCCACCTCATCTTGGCTCCAGGATAAATGGAGGAAGCTTATAATGAGACCAACGAGTCCTCGTCTGTATTCAGGAAACACCTTCAAGCTACGATATCGTCTCAGAGGACGAAGATTGGGGCATTAGAGCACAGTTAATAGCCGTTTTCTCAGTAGTTTCCCACGCCTGAGCACTGAATCTCTGTAGCTCCCACAGAGGTACCTTCCTTATTCCTGCCTTTTCAATTAATGCTTTGATAGTCGAGCCAATCTGTTTAGATCATGGGTGTCTATTTGAGGGGGCTTAGGATAATTTCGTGAGGCCTCAGCTCAAGTGTAGGGCAAATTTGACCCTTGATCTTAAGTCCAACATGAAGAGTTTTTCTGCTATTCATTAGGTTTTGTTTGCTCTTTTCCTAATGTTATAATAAGGAGGGTAGCAAACATACTCAAGCACACCCATTCACTAACCTTTGGTAAATCTAGCAAGTATTTTACAAAGGCAGATTTTTTTGCTGAGAAGACTAAAATCACTTTCTAGATCAACAAAATGGAAAACATTTTTCCAAAAATTGAAATAAATCTCCATAAAAAATTGAACCATTTTTAACGGAACTACTTTTTTTGTTTCTCTAACCCAGTCTAACTGTTAAGTCTGCTCTTACAGACCAGATATAAGCCAACATTTAGTTTATTAGAATTGCTTTTTTCAATTGTCATTAAACTGTTGATGAAGGGTTGCTCTATTTTCTTCAATTAATCACACATTTTCTGTTACATAATTAATCACAATTAGTCTTTCTTGATTCCAGAGAAGCAATAAACATCAACCTTAACCAATAATAATATAGCTATAAATACTAGTATTCACAGTGATAAAAGTAGAATTAAATTGTGTCAATGATCTGGTATTACCAGCTCCCCTGAATACATACTGTTTGTGTCTCCATTGATGCAGACAGTGTGCAGCTCCGGCTCGGTGGAATTAGAGGAGGTGTGTGATCGGGCGTCCAGCGTGGCCAGGGATTGGAGCATGCTGAGCAGGCTGTTGGAAGTCGGGAATTGGAGGTATTTCTCCGGGACGTAGCCCACTTGACCCGTTTTGTTCCGTGCCTGCGACAAAACACAGGATAAGAGCCAGTCTGGGGAGACAGAGACTGCCTCATTTCATATTTTGAACTAATATATGTTTTTGTGTGTGTGTACCTTGACCCAGTCCTCCATGTCTCCATCCTCGATGACCTCCAACATCTCCTGTTCATCAATGGTTAACTCATCCGGCTGAGACGCCTGCAGTAAAGACCAAACAAAGAGATTAATATGAAGGTGAAAGAAAAGCAGACAGTAAGTTAAGTCCCTGTGCTGTATCGTACCTTGTAGGAGTAGAGAACTTTGCAGGTTAGCGGGTAGTTGCGCAGCGTTCCCGAGGGACTGGAACTGCTGTCGTCGAAGACCTCCATGTTCTCTTCACACTCCTCTCCCTCTTCACGCTCCAGGTCCACCGTGCCCTTTTGACACACAAGCAGAGGTACAGCCAGGCCGTCAAAACAAAGGATAAAGACAACACAAAGTTATCTAAAGGTCTAAAAAGTTTGCTATTGGTCTAATCAGTCACTAGGGACTCATCTGTTCTAGCCTCAGGAACCACCCTACGCAGAGGACTCCTCACCGTTTATTCCTCCCTAGTTTCTGCTGTGTGCTCTGGTGCTTTAGAAACAGGTGCTGAGCCAATGCTGTCTCATGTGTTGCGGCCCCTCCCTGTTTTTTTTTTCTATCCATGTGAATTTCCCCCGCAGACGTGAACGTCACACGATCCTGGCTAATGGAAAGATCCATCACATACACACAGAAAGCCGACTTGGTCAATAACAATAGATTGTGTACATACATGTGTGTCTGTGTGTGTGTGTTTGTTAGTAGGTGGCTGTGTTTACACATCAACTCTGTTGACACAGTAAACTTTGCACCACTGCAGAGCAAAACTCATCTTTGTTTTGTACATGAATTAATCTTCAGAGTTGATCTCCTAAATAGAGACATTTATTTCCAAGGATATTTGAATCTTGGGTTTGGGCTGAAGGTATGACACACACACACACAGATATATATATATGTGTGTGTGTGTGTGTGTGTGTGTGTGAAAGGTTAAGGAAAATTCTTATAACTAAGCTACCAACAGTGTTAATTAGATCCAAACGTAACATATTGCGTTAACAAATGTTGAAACACATAAAACACAACAGGTGAAAATAGCTGTTGTGAAGCGCTTTGAAATAATAAACTTCAGAAATCATATCAAGAGTTCAGCACCTGACAAATGTTCTGTCTGAATGATCTCTTTTCCCTTTCGGCTCAAGAGGAAAACCTCCCCTCTGTTTGGCCGCTGTCAGTCAAATGTCTTTTACTTTGTCCGTCCAATCAGCCTCAAGCAGCAAGCTTCACCCCTTGCCCCCGCTCTATAGACACTCTAAGAGGTTTAGCCTCACTGTAAGTGACAGATTTTTGCGTGTTATTCAATAGAAGCCCTACTTTCATTCTGGTTGCTTCAATACAAGGAGGCTCAAGCCTCAACAGGGATTTCTCATAGACTGAAAGGGAGCGTCCTGCTGCTCCAGAGCAAGAGATTGCTTCCAAGAGCGGAATAAACAGCTGATTAATGAGCAACATACTCATGGAATCAATCAAATATAATGCAGTTTAATATTTTTTAAGATTAACAATGCGTATACTCAATGTTCAATGAGAACTCACCACTGCAAAAGTACAAGCTCCACATAAGTCACAGTATTCTGCAAACTACCGCCTCTCTAATATCAATATGTTGACTTGATTGGTCTCATGCATAAAATACAAACTAGAGACCCCTTGGGTCTAAGTGGGGATTACCTCCCAAGGTGGTGGTAAATAATCAAGCTATGAATCTCATGAACTTTGTACATAAACTGAGTTGGCCAACCAACCAGACTAATTCATAATTGATAAGAAAATTCCAGGCCAGCCGATGTGATCAATGTGGCTATCCCAAACAATGCAAATGCAATGCATCAGGAGAAAGGAACAGGCGACAGTGAAGATAAACAAAGAATTGCTTAGGAACCCAGAGGTCAAACTGGGTACTTGTAACCTTCTCAGCGCACAAGCACACTGCTCTGACCAATAAGCCATCACTCCCAACTAATGGATTGGTGTGCAACTACCTACTGTACATGATGTTGGTTGTTTTGCTCAATTGTTCAGAGTAGATTTCATGAATAGAGAAACACAGATTGTTTAGTATTTGGCAGGCAAGTCTGATTAGAGCCCATCAGAGGAGATTTGACTGACTGACTGGTGAATCTGTGTAAGTTCAGATCTAACATTTGAGCGATGGATAGGATGTCGTGGTAGAGTTAAAACTTTCAGAACTAATTTATTTTCCTTAAATGAGGCAAATGACAGTGGAGCAATGCCTGATTCAGCAACAGAGGAAACACTTTAAAGAGGCGGTGTTTTCAGACGTGGTTGTAGAACAGATAGGAGGGTGGGGCTGCTCGCCTCGGACTGCCATGAAGCAACCTGATGTCCAGGTTTGGTCCAGGTAATATTTTGGTGTCAGTGGGTTTATCAGGTTGGATGACCTTTATTCACTCTAAAAAGCAAAGTGTTAAAAACTGTCTGATTTTTCTGTGAGGCAGATTAGATTCAACGGCTGAAGTGAAAAGCCGAGCATGGATAACCCAATAAAAAAAGAAATCAATGTGCATAGGCCTCAGTGTTTGAAGCGGTGCTGCTGAAACCAAGAACAATGGCAGATTTTATTGGTCTTGAAGGTAATAACTGTGAAAGTTATGTGTTAATGAAGGCAGTTGCTGCCTGAGAGACTTGTGGGTTGGTGCCAGTTTTTCCCTTTTGGCATTAATAAAGATGAGAAAGAGGAAGAAAGAGGGAAGAGGCGATGCCTTGATCTTCTCCTTCTTATTACTGTTTGCAATGTATTCCTCCTTTTCTCTGTGTTTGTGATGCAACTTCAATGTCTCCATATAATTTGCAAACCACTGTTTGAATTTGTTGACACAAATCCTTTCCAAAGAATCACAACAATATCTTTCTCTCCTGATGCCAGACTCTTTTGGACTTGGTCCGTATAAGAAATATAATTAATTGCTGCTAAGCCGCGATAATACTCATGAATCAGTCACATCTATCCTTGACCCTGATGGGCTCTTAACTAAAATGACATCAATGTGAATTTATACAATTTCATAAGCAGAATAATATGTAAATGGGTGGAAAATGATAAATATCCTGATAAATCTCAAACATGTAGGCAGAAAATTGTAATTACTGTCACTGATGGACGACACATTGTGGCACTGAAAATGTTGGAAACTGTGATTTCTACTTCTCCTTGCAGTATGGTGTTGTATAGGGATGTCAAATATCATCTTTTGCTCGGACAAGTCCACTTTTTACATTCTGTCCGGGGCGTTAAGTTTTTACTGTTAAGGGACCATAATCATATGTTTAAATAAACTGGTGCTTTGCACAGAATACTACAGTACTTTTCGGTCCCCGGGATAATTCTCGAGGGACTGCCTTGTGGGAGGGTCTGGCGAGACACCCACACACAGACACACACAGGGTGCAGAGAAACCAGCATTTGACACAACCTGCAGAAACGAAAGTGCAGCTTCACAGATGAACTGCAAATAAATGTTTGCATGTACGGTCGAGGTTCGGAGGCCGATTGCACAGGTGTTGCAGATCTTAAAGCTCACATGGACTGTTAAAAACGTTTGGTTATCTAACATAACCCCAGTTCTTAGAATAATATGAGCGAGGTGTCTCGCTATGGGATGCAGCCTCCTGCAGCCCTGATAGAAGCATCTATCTCAATCTGCCAATCCTGATTGGCCGGTGGAAGTGCCCGTCATACGCCACGCCCCGTAGCTCCGACTACTAAAGCGTGTGCGGATCACGGCACTCCAATTCAACAAGCAAACCTCTTCTCGCCGCCCTGCAAGAAGGATCGTCTGGCGAGACACCTCGCTCATATTATTCTAAGAACTGGGGTTATGTTAGATAACCAAACGTTCTTTTTCATAATATTCACTCGGTGTCTCGCTATGGGATATGGTAGCTCCCGTATTGTCAGACAGCTTATCGAACAAGAACCGGCCGATGGGGAAGGTCCACAAGGTCAGTTATGACTCTAGGACCGCACTGGCCACGCACGGTCCAGACACGTCAAGCATGTAGAACCGGACAAAAGTCAGAGGCGAAGACCAATTCGCCGCTGAACAAATGTCCTGAACGGACACTCCCCGAAATAAAGCCCAGGACGCAGCCATCCCGCGGGTAGAGTGTGCACGCAGACCCGCCGGGGGCTGCAGACCCCTGCTTCCATACGCCAAAGCTATAGCCTCCACCACCCAGTGGGCGAGGCGTTGCTTTGTGATCGGCTGCCCCTTACGGGGCTCCGCCCAGGAGACAAAGAGCTGATCACTCATCCTGAAGCTCTGCGTCCTGTCCATATAAGAGCGCACGGCTCGAACAGGGCACAGCGTGTGCGCTCGCCGTTCACCTGGGGGGGCGGCGAACGCCGCTAGCTCGATCGGTGAACAAGAACCAACCACTTTAGGAACAAAGGCCGGGTTGGGCTTCAGAACCATACGCGTGTATTCCGGGTCGAACCGGGTACATGCGGGGCTCACAGAGAGCGCATGAATGTCGCTGACTCGTTTCGCAGAGGCCAGGGCCAGTAACAGCACTGTCTTGAGAGACAGATGTTTAAGACTGGACCCCAACAACGGTTCAAATGGGGGTCCCTTAAGCCCCTCCAGAACCACCGACAAATCCCACGGAGGCAGCAAAGGTCTGGAGACGGGGAGGAGCCTGCGGGCGCCCTTCATAAACCGACAAACCAAAGGGTGTTGGCTCGCCGTTTTGTCTCCAAATCCTATATGGCATGCTGCTATAGCTGCCAGATAAACCTTAACCGTGGAAAAAGCTTTTCCTTTATCAATCAGTTCCTGTAAAAACGACAGAATCGCTGGTACAGAACACTGAAAAGGAACGTAGTCCCGTTCAAGACACCACCGCTCAAACAGTCCCCACTTGGAGCCATATAGGTTCCTAGTGGAGGGAGCCCTGGCGTTTTGGATAGTATTAATTACACTCTGAGGGAGCCCGGCAGTGGTTAAATTAAGCCACTCACGGGCCAGGCTCACAGCTGCAGTCGCTCCGGGTGTGGGTGGTACACTGTCCCCGCACCCTGCGAGAGCAGGTCCCTGCGCAGCGGCAGCTCCCAAGGCTGGGCGCACAGCATCTGGAATATCTCCGCCAGCCAGTGTTGCGCTGGCCAGTGCGGAGCTATTAGGATCAGTCTGTGGTTGAATGCCCTCACTCTGGCGAGAGTGGGGGGTATCAGGGCCAGCGGTGGAAACGCGCAGCTCGTGCGGCCAGGCGTGCGCTAATGCGTCTACGCCCAGAGGGGCATTCAGAGTGCTCAGAGAGAAGAACAGCTTGC